GCACTATGGTTGATGAAGATTAGTGACTGCCCCAAATGTTGGTCATAACATTTTCGATTTTTGTAGTAATCCAGCATCTCTGAGGTTTTGAAGTTAGGGGGAATTTTGTTGTATTCTCTATTTTCCAATAGTTGACCTAGGTTATTTTGGGTGTCTGTATATATATTTTTAAGTGGGTTCTTTTGTCTGGAGTCATCTTTCTGAGATCTTAAGAACAGAAGACCCACTGAAACAGCATCTTAGGAACTTTCTGCCAGAAGACATCATTCTCAAGGAATTTGATTGGGAAACATGGAAATTTTCTTCCTACACAGATGTTACCTTCCACTCAGGTAGATAAATGCATTAAGTACCATGCTTTAGGAAGAATGAATGAATGAATGAACGAATATCAGATTAAGTCTTTGGGTTTTAATGCATTAGGCCTTAAATCTTGGGCAACACAGGATGATCAGTAATTGGCTGCTTGAACCACATTTCTTCAGATATCTGAAATTATCTGTAGAGCTTTTTTCAGTTTATAAAAAAATGTGGTCATCATATCCGTAGAATCTGCATCTTTTTAATCTTTTTAAATACAGGTTGTCTTCTACCTGTGTAGAAAATACAGTCACGTAATGACTCAATCACGTATGTGAAATGTGAATCTGTATAATCAAGATGCACTGTTTGTTTATTCATGTCAGAAGCATCACAAATTAAATTAAAATTAAATTAATTAAAATAGGGCTACTAGACAACATCAAATTTAATATATAAAATAAAGATTAAAATATGTACAAGTTAAAGAAATCTTGCCCAGAAACTAACAACATTAACTGTGTTCTGTCCTGTGCCATGAGGTCCTGATCCTGCACTGATCAGGAAAACAAAGGGCAGGTGTGTGTGTGTGTGTGTGTTGTATACAAAGTTGGACACTTCAATAAGATGAGTTTTTCTTCTTACTGATGTTTTTCGGGAACTCTTTCCATTCCAGCAATGGCCAGTGGAAATGCTGAGGCCCAGGTCATCTTCTCACCTACTTCTTTTATCCCACATTTGATCCTGACTAATTTCACAATCCATCTGCTGGGACAGGCGATCAATCTTTTAGAGGCAAGTAACCTGAAATACACTAAGAACCAATTCCTACGTAGAATGCTGCGGGTAAATTTAACACATGCAGGAATCCAGGTTTGTATTCTTAGGAACAGAAGAAATTTCTTTATCCTAAGCCAGGTCATTGATCCAGCCACGACCAGCATCTCCAGGCTGATGTCCCTCTAGATAGGCAGGAACCAACAGCTGGCAGTTGGCTCCTACCCAACAGACATCAAAAGCTTTGCCCTCCATAATCGTAGCTACCTTCCTTCCTTTCTTTCAATGTTGAAGCAGGATTTAATCAACCGGGTTCCATCAAATGCAGAATTAGAATTCAGTTTGGGTCTATTTTGCGTTTTGTTGTGGTTGATTTCCAAAATCTGAAAAATTAGTTATGGATGTGTTGAAAATATATTGTAAGCCGCCCAGAGGCACTGGAAGTAAGTGGGCAGCCATATAATTTTTCATAAATAAATAAAAGTCCATGGCTCTGAATTCAGGTGAAGAGTGATCTTTTTTTCCTAGGCTAGACTCCTAAGACTCTTCCTAACAAGATGAATTGATGGAGTTCACAAGAATTTCAGCAATTAAACCTCTTCCTGCTAGCACTGATTTATCTCTGAAGAGAAATAAATAAGGCAGAACTTTTCAGAATTTATTTTTAACAGTTCTTCCATGATCAGGCAAAGAGCGAGTTCGTGTTGCCAATAATGGCAAGAGTTTATTTATGCAGCTGTCTCCTGAACGATTATCGGTCAACACTTTCATACAAAATATAATACTAGCCAATATGATTTGATAATAATAGCACCAAAAGACAAATGAGTACCAATTATAGCAATCTGTGTACTGATGATAATAAACATGAGGTATAAAAATCAGTATAACTATAAAATATTGAAATTGTTTTTCGATCGTTCTAAAGGTTCCCTAAAATGCCTGGGAAGATAAAAAGATCCTTCTCTAGTGTTGAAAGAAAAGCTTTTAACATATGTCACATTAGTATTAAATAAACCCTTTTTCATTGATGGTCCTTCTCATTTGATGGGGTCAGCCACAAAAGTACCCCAATGGCAAAATACGGAAGGAAGTAAACAGGTAACTGATCTACCAAGTATTTAGGGTTTTAAGATTAAAAGCCAACATTGTCCTTTAGCAAAATATCTGATCCTGTGGCCTTCTAAATATTACACAACCATTATTTTTAGGTTAGAGTCAGCTTGGACAATATGGAAGATGTTGTCCGGACATTTTTTGACTTTCAAGACACCAAAGGAAGACGTGTTAAGCCAGAATCTCCAATGGAGATGGTGAACAGGATTCCTCCAAATAAGCCGTTATCCAAGCAATTCAATTTGAAGAGTCACCTACCTAAAGGAAATAAAACTGCACTGAGAATGGAAAGCGATTGTCCAAGTGGACAATACCATAAGATTAATGACTTTGTGAAAAAGGTACGTTAATGTGTCATCCGTGGATGTTTGCTTGTTCCATTTAGGATCACTTATATCCGAACAAGGATTGTCTTGGGAGGGTTCCCATGTTTGAGTAGCATCTAGATTAGGTTATTTCACATCCAAGGAGAGCAGGAAAAAATCAAGAAAATGTCAGACAGGACTACTAATAGGTAAGGTGACTATATTCTACTTCTATAGCTCTGAAGTTGGAAAACAATGAAAGAGATCTACAGCTATCTTGACCATAGCATTTAACTATCCTTCCTTGGTCTGACCCAGCATGGTTTGGATTAAATATTTTTTTTTTCCTAGAAGGCCCATATCTTTGCAGAAAGCACACAATTTCATGCAGAAGCTCACTGGTCCAATTCCTGACATCTTCCATGAATTGATTGATTGATTGATTGATTGATTGATTTTTGAGACTTATATACCGCTTTAAGTGCAAGCACTCTCTAAGCGGTGTACACCAGTAAGCAATGTATATATATATTTACATTGCCCCCAACAATCTGGGTCCTCATTTTACCTACCCCGGAAGGATGGAAGGCTGAGTCAACCTTGAGCCGGTGAGATTTGAACCGCTGACCTGCTGAACACAGTCAGCTAAAGTGGCCTGCAGTACTGCCCTCTAACTGCTGCGCCACCTCTACTACACCTTGATGTAGTAGAATGAAGAAAGTGCTCTGTTCACATTCCTGGAGAGTTTCAACCAATCATAGGGCTGAAAGGGATCTTAGAGGTCTTCTAGTCCAATCTCCTGTCCAGGACAGGAGTCCTTATACCATCCTGAATAAACAGTTGCTCATTTTTTCTTGAGCACCTCCAGTGATGCAGCACCCATAACTCTGAGAAGCAACCTGTTCTTCTCATTCTAATCATTCTCATTGCCAGGAAATTCCTCCTTATTTACAGGTTAGGTCTCCTTCTCATGAACTTCCACTCAATGTTTCTTGTCCTGCCCTCAGGTGCTATGGAGAATAAATCAACACACTCTTTCCTGTGACAACTCTTCAAGTATTGGAAGACTGCTATCATGTCTCCATTGATCCTTGAGAGCAGCCAGTTATCAGCTATCTGATAGCTGCTTCTGGCTAACTTTTGATATACTGTAGGCTTAATCTGAAACCTCTGATGGCTTCAAAGCGTTGGGTTTTTTCATAATTTTTTTTTGCAACTGTGTTGGATATGGTCACTCCTCTCTTTCTCTCTCTCTTTCTTCTTGCTTATGCTTCAGTTCACCCAAAAAATGGGGAAAAAGAAGAAGCCTAAATGCAGAGTTAGTCTCAAAATCTTTGGAAATGAGTTGATGATTCTTGACTGCAGCGATCTCAGAGGCCAAGCAAAACGTTACTCTTTGAACCTGGCAGAGCTAACCATGAAGGTTTTGAAGGTAAGGGAAATGTGATCAGTGCAATCATTTCCAATTGGTGATCTCCAGGCCTCTGACACAGTTAGGAAACTTCAGTAGGACAACCATCAAACGTCTTGAGAAGGTTCCTCTCACTCTGTTTCCCCACTTCCAGCATCCATACCTGACTGTAGTAGAGAAAATAACTCCAAGTCATGTTAAAAATTGGTATTTTATTGCTCTATGCCAATTCACCAGCCCTTCCCACTGGTCAGTTGACTTATCGTCATGTTTACTAACTTCCCAACAGGGCCAAGAAGTCCAGTGGAATAAAAGATTGAGTCTGGCAACAGAAGAAGTGCAGTTTCCAACCATCTCAGGGTTGCCTGTCCTTCTGGGGTTTAATGCTTCAGCAGCTGTCAACCTGACCGCCAGAGGAGACACAAGCTTCAAGAAACACAACCATTTTTTCATCAGTGGCTACCTCAAGCCAAGGTAGTGAGCTTCCAGAACTGTGTTATCTTTCCAAATACTAATTGTCTTCGTTCTTCGCATTATTTCCAACCCAATACAGGTAATCTTCAATTTACAGCCCTTCATTTTGTGACCCTTCTAAGCCACAATGGCACTGGAAAAAAACGACTGAAGGACCGCTTTTCACACTTATGACTGTTGTGGTATTCCCACGGTCATGTGATCAAAAGTTGGCTGCTTGGCAACTGACTCACATTTATGACAGTCGCAGTGTCCCCGGGGGAGTCATGTGATCCCCTTTTGCCACCATCCCACAAGCAAAGTCAAGAGAGAAGCAACCATTTTGCTAACTTAGCTACTGCGGTCATTTAGTTAGCAAGAAAAATCATAAACTGGGGCAAATCTCACTTAACAACAGAAAGTTTGGGCTCAATTGTGGCCGTAAGTCAAGGACTATTTGTAGAAGAATTGAAAGATAAATTATCTCAATGGATTTGAGACTCCGTCAGCCATGTAAAGACATTAACAAAAATAAAATAATAAAACTCTGTGTCAAACTCTTACAATGAAATCTTCTTCTCTATATATTTTGGCAGTGTTATTCTACAGATTTCTGCCCAGATGGGAATTGTAGGAGTTCTGGGGGACTCTGGTTTGAAGTGGTCAACCGTCTTGAGATCCTCAACCAACCTTGATGGAGGAATCCAGGTGAAAAAGGGGAAAGAATTTAAATTTTTTTGGAACACTCCCGAAGATGCTATGGAAATTGTACATTTCAGGTAAAACAAGACACAAAATACACAGAACCAGCGGTCAGTTAAATGTTTCTGGAATCTCAGCTCAGCCAATCTAGGGAGTTTTGCAGGGATGGGGGTTGGAGTTAAAATAAAATATTCAGCTTTCCAGAAATCGGTCTGTGCATTGCATAAAATGAACTTGCATCAACAGAGGCTGAAATGGTGATCAAATGGGGTGAGACACTTCTATTTAGGTAGGATAATTATGTGCCAAATAATCACACAAAGCTGTTTTTGTGATTCCTGTGTTTCAAAACTGCTCAGTAAGCTGTCTTATAGGAATTCTGATTCTCTCCCTGTTTTATAGCTCTAAACTCTACGTTACTACAAGGGAGAGAAAAAAAACCATTGGCCGTTTCCCGGGCCAAGCTGAACTATGCACTAGTGAGGAAGGTAAGGTGACTAGCAAATTTGGCATCCATCGCCTTCCGATGTCGTATTTTGCAGTTATTTTTGTCAGGTATAATTGTAGGAAATTATGAGAAGGGATGTGTATATTTAATGTTACATGTATGAACTGCAGCGAGAATTGTATTTGCCCAATATTGGAAAGAAGAAGAATGACCAGTGGAGGAAGAGATAATTAAGAAAATTTTAGATTGTGCAGAAAGGGACAGACTGACACTGAAAATGAAAGAGAAAGAAGATTCAGAATACTTTAGAACAGCATTTTATCATGGCTAGAAAAACAAGGTAGAGAGAAAGGAGTTTAACATGTATCAGTAAGCTAAATATTAAAACCCAGACAATATGTTGCTGATAAAATATTAAGAATTTGTGATGATAAAAAAATTAATAAAATATTGAACCCCTAAAAAAGAAGAAGGCATTTCACATATAATGCATTTCCATCTTAGAACAAGTCATGGCTGGTTAGACGCTAAGAATATTTTCCTGCATGAATAGCACAAAAGAATGTCCTTCACTTTTTAAAACTGTTTTGTTCTTTTTGGTTTTAACTGCAGCGTCAAAGACGTTCGGCTGGCAGCTGTGTTCAGAAGTTTTTCTCCCTGATGACAAGGCCAGCAGCTTCCTGCTTCCATTCCCTGGACCTGTCAAAGTCACCGTTACACTAAGAAAGCAGGACAAGAGCCTAAAGCAGTATTTAATAAAAGCAGCGTATCACTATGTTGCTCAGGTGTGGTTCTTGACTTCTGTCTGGTTTAGAGACAGACAGACAGAAGCAACACATACAATGTTAAGAACTCAGTCTTGCAGTAAATGTAGTCCTTGACTTACAACCATAACTGGAACCAAAATTTCCGTTGCTAAGCCAGGTGGCTGTTAAGTGAGACACACCTGATTGTGAATTGTGCGGTCGTTAAGCAAATTGGGCTTCCCCCATTGACTTCGCTTGCTAGAATCCGTCTGGGAAGGTCCCAAATGGCGATCCCAGATGCTACAACCATTGTAAACATATGTGAAGTGGGGATTGTACAACCGTCCTAAGTGCGAAGACTGGCTTTAAGTCGCTTAAGTAGTGCCATTGTCATTTCAAATGGTTGCTGAACAAAAAGTCGTAAGGTCGAGGACTCCTTGTATAGTTTGCAATGTACAGGAATACATGGGTAGTTGGTCAGTTTCGAAATTGACACTTTGAGTCTTCCTTTGATCTTGTTAGTCTTATGACTTACCTTTCAGAAAGGTTCCTGGATTCCAAATGAAGCCAGCCTCCGTTTCTTTATGGGGACTCCGGAATCGGAGCTGAAGAGAAACGTTGCTTTTGACTTCCACTGGAACATCCCTCAGAAAAAAATCAGAATTGAATTCGTCGAGCCCAAGGCAAAAATGTTACTGAATGGTGAGAAGAATTAATGTCCAATTACAACTCCTTGGTGTCCATCTGTTGGGAGCTCTAAGTCATCTCCATATAATGAAGCACACAACAGTAGAGTTTCATCTTGAACACTGTATAGCATATTTATTTAGGTCTCCTCCTCCTCTTCCTCTTCCTCCTCCTCCTCCTCCTCCTCCTCCTCCTCCTCCTCCTCCTCCTCCTCCTCCTCCTCTTCTTCTTCTTCTTCTTCTTCTTCTTCTTCTTCTTCTTCTTCTTCTTCTTCTTCTTCTTCTTCTTCTTCTTCTTCCTCCTCCTCCTCCTCCTCCTCCTCAATGTCAACCTCACTGTCATCCTCATATCTTGCAAAATTTGAAAACATGAGATTTAAAAAATGGTGTATTATCTGATGAATGCTGCTGAGAGTCCCATGGCAAAGATGTAGTTTTTGACTCCGAGTCTCCTAGAACTGGAAACTGAAAAAGGGAGAAGTCAACTGAAGATCTTCTGGAACAACCTTTGGGAGATTTACAAAACAATTCACCATTATTTATTGAAAAAATAACACATTTTGATCCCTCTATTAGGCAATTGGAAGAAAAAATAGGAAGGAGTTAGGAAAGGGATCTTTCGTGAGAAGATCTTGTGAGCTGAAGTTTAGGCTGGCTGAAGAATTCTGGGAGTCCACATGTCTTAAAGTTGCGTTCCATTTCGCATTAAACTATCTCTCCGTGGGAAAACACAAGCAGGAATTAATTTATACTTTTTTTTCTTTATTAGGCAAAATTGAAATCTCAAAATACTCTCGTGCTGGGCATTTGGAATTGATCATCAATGATAACACCATTTATTACATCAAGGTAGGTGTCTCACCTGGCCTGGAACCAAAGACCCAGCCAGTATATCTTCGATTGACAAACTGCCTCTTGGGGGTCTCTGATCAGATGTTTTAACCAACCAAAATCAATGAGGTACATCTGATTTCTTTAGGGCAGGACCGATTTGCAATCCGTGGCTGGGGAGCAAAGATACGCCATCCGTCTGGAAGCTAAACTGCTAAGACATGGAAGTCCTATTGTCCTCGCAGGAAACCTCACCAAACTGCTTAGCCGGAAAGTGTCACTTTCAGTATCCTTGGTTAACCTGCTGAAGGATGTGGCGTTCTTTGCAGGTAAGGACACAACAGCCTCAGAGACAACCTGGGTAAAACTGGGGGCAGACAAAAAAAGCCTTCCTCCTTACAGAAACAAATCTGCTGCAAAAATTAGGTGGATTAAAAACGAACAAACAAAACAAGCAATATCTAATCTGGGAAAGGTAAAGACCGCAAGTGAGTCTGGAAAATGGGTCACCGGTCAAGAGCCTGTGAACGCTACGTTTTCATAAAAATGCCCAAAGGAGCAGAAAGAAAGCCAACACAATGTGTGAATGCTAAAAGCCATTTTCACAATATAACCTCTCTCCCCCAACACACACACACACACAGACACACACACACACAGAGAGAGAGAGAGAGAGAGAGAGAGAGAGAGAGAGAGAGAGAGAGAGAGAGAGACTGTTTTCTAATGGATAAAAAGAAAGTCCTAACATTCTCTGCACTTGAGGGTATAGTTATGCTCTTTTTGCAAAAAATAAATAAATTGCTCCCTTCCGTCTCAACTTCAAGGTCCACTCCTCAGCACTGCCTGCAAGATGGTTTGTAGAGGTAGTCCTCAACGTACAACCACAATTGAGCTAAGCAAGACAGTTGCTCGGCGAGTTTGGCTCCATTTTACAACGTTTCTTGCCATCGTTGTTAAGTGGATTGCTGTAGTTATTCAGTTAGTCACACGGTTGTGAAGTGAATTTGGCTTCCCCGTTGTCTTTGCTTGTCAGGTCGCAAAAGGGGGTCATGTGACACACACACACACATACACACCGGGACATGGCAACCGTCCTAAGTACATGCCAGTTGCCAAGTGTCTGAATTTGACCAAATGAATGATTGTAAGTCAAGGACTACCTATATTCTGCTCCTACTTAATGCACCTCTGATTTCAATTGCTTTGTGTCTCTTTCTTAGTGTGTTTCGAGAGAAAGGCAGATAATGAACTAAGGCACTATTCCCTGGAAGGAGAAACCCACATTCCTGGTGTTTTGGGGTCTCACATCATTTTTCTTCTGCAACAACGAGAACAACTCTGGTCCAACATCCTAAGAATTAAATATGGGTTGTTTGGTACTGTACTAGTATTTTATATATAACACTGGAAGTTTTTAAGAAGAGATTGGACAACCATTTGTTTGAAATGGTATAGGGTTTCCTGCCTAAGGGGGGGGGGTTGGACTAGATGACCTCCAAGATCCCTTTCAACTCTGTTACACTATTCTATTCTATTCTATTCTATTCTATTCTATTCTATTCTATTCTATTCTATTCTATATTCTCTTCTCTCTTCTCTTCTCTTCTCTTCTATTTTCTATTCTATTCTCTATTTCTATTCTATTCTATTTTCTATTCTATTCTATTTTCTATTATTTTCTATTTTTTATTCTATTCTATTCTATTTATAAAAATTCCCATCTCATCTCTATGGGTGATATTTAAAAAAAAATGTCCATTCAGGAGGATGGATTCTCTTAATGACCATATAGATCACTTAACGTTCGTGTAATTTGATTCACAACTGCATTGATTCATTAACAACTGCATTAAATGGTCGTAAAACCAAGTCAGGTCAGGAGGTTGGCCCGCTTAATGCATATTCTTAGGAAAAATGGAAAATCTATATAAATGCTCATAAAGACTTATGGAAAATTCAAGATGGCGATCTATGGGATCAAGTTCCATGATCATTAGCAATGTTGGGAACTGATCTAAATCTCGGGCAAATAGCAGATCAGGAAAGACAGAAAAATATATCGTTCCGGTTTGTAAAGCAGATATTCCTCTATCCCTATATGCATGTTTCACTGGAGAAGGAGATGGCAAGAAGCTTCAGCATGAATGCAACATGGCTCAGAAGTTAAAGCTGGAGAACAACTTGCCAGATGCTTACAGACTGGATGTAGAGCACAAATTTCACTGCACTCAGAATCTAATTTACAATCACAAGGTAAAGAGGTGCTAAACACAGTAAGGGATGCCGGGGGATTGGGTGGAAGTTGGGTGTGAAGACAGACAATGGTGGGAAGAAACCATGGAATGATGACGCATGCTGAGAAGCCATCTGGATGAGGCTCAGCCCTTACAGGTAGACCCGACCAGGACATTAATTCTACAGGAAAGCTGAAACAACTTTTATCGAGAGCGGTTGCAACAACAGATTCTTGAAAGTCTGACTGTGTGATACTCTTCCCCTTCTTATACTTACGTGGTGTCTGTCTGAGCTTCAATGGAGATTTGCTTCATTCCTCATTGCTTTGGAGATCTTGCATATCTCCATCTAGGTCAGGTGTAGGCAACCTTGGCTCTTTTGTGACTCGTGGACTTCAACTCCCAGAATTCCTCTTCCTTTCCCCTCAGCATGGGTGGCTCAAGAATTCTGGGAGTTGAAGTCCACAAGTCATAAAAGAGCCAAGGTTGCCTACCCCGGATCTAGGTCATCTTCGTTATTCTCTACAACGGATGACTAGGACCTGACACAACTATCATAATCCAGGATTTCCTCCAAGATTTTTCTTGGAACAGCAGTTGTTACGAGGGAAGATGCTAAATGCTCAACCTGTAACCTTTCTCCAGGTCCATTTGCACCATGAAGACACTGCAACCCAGCTGCATTCCCGCTTGGAGGCTAACTACGGGAAACACTGGGATAAAGCCAACAATATGAGGAAGGTGATCATCAGCCAGATGTTCAAAAATCATTCCCAGGCCACTCTGAGGAGCTACTTCATGGAGGTAGGAATAGCAGGACTGAATCGGGTCACATATTTTGGGTGGGTTTGGGTGGTGTTGGAAGGCGATTAGGCAAGTTAGACAGGGATCTCCACTTGAGCATCAGCCATGAACCTACTTTGCAAGGTCATGATGATGATAAAGCGAGAGGAGACCCCATAGAGAAGGCTTTGGGGCAGCTGTTGTATCACTCCAGCCTTCCTCACAAAATGACAGTTCTACCAAAGACTCTCTTGGAAATCATCTTGAGCTTTCTGCAATGACAGATGCAGCATCCTGGGTCATGTGTTCGCCATTTGCAAATTTCCCCAACTGGCCTCCAAGAAGCAAAATCAACAGGGGTAGCTGAATTCACTGAACAACTCATTTAACAGCTGAAGTGCTTCGCTAAACAAGAGTGGCAAAGAAGGCTGTGAAATCAAGCGTGATTAACTTAACAAATACCTTGCTTAGCGATGGATTCTGGTTGCAAGTCAAGGGTTATCTGTAGCCACTGTCCCGTTGCATTCTTTTCCTATAACACGGGCACGATTCATTTTTCCTTCTAGTTCATGATTCAAGTGCCTGAAAAGAATCTGGATTACAGGACCCGGCTGCAGCATTCTAGTTCTTTCCACCCTTCTCTTGAATGCAGCACCAGTTTCAAGGTGCATTATAACAACCGCATCCCTTTTATAGCCGACCTTCAGTGGAAAAATATTTCTGGCCGTTTGCTGAAGAAGTGGGAAGGTAAGATTTGATCGTGTGCATATCCTGAAAGTCTCATGCTGATGGTGATGGTTTTTTTTACTGGAAAACAAAAAATAAAGGACCAGCCTCAGAGGTCAATCAAGAAAAAAAAACATTTCAATTGTTTATGTTTATATAGTGTTGCTTTACAAACATACATTCAAGAATCAAACCAAGATAAACTTTACAAAAACATGTATTTGAGATGAGCGGCTATAGAAATTGAATTAGATAGCTAGATAGCTAGATAAGATAGATGGATGGATGGATGGATGGATGGATGGATAATACTGTAGATAGATAGATGGATAGATAGATAGATAGATAATATAGACAGACAGACAGATAGATAATATAGACAGACAGATAATATAGATAGATTAAACAGACAGACAGACAGATAGGTAATATAGATAGATTAGACAGACAGACAGACAGACAGACAGACAGATGATTGACAAACTAAAAAAATCTAAAACAATTAATGCACATTTATTTTAAAAAGACCGTTCAAGCTCCTTATTTTTCACCAGAATATGAAAGATTCTCCATTAAGTGGTTCCCTTTGCATGGGAAAAATTAAGTGAGGCCAATAAAGAACCAATTGGAGTTATTGAAAAATAAATAAACCTAAAGGGCAGCTTTCAGAAATGAAGTTTTCTCTCTTCTTTATAGGTACATTCAACATGGACACACCCTGGCTGTATCTGTATGCCACTCACAAATTCCACCAGTTCCAGCGTTCGGCTTTCTTCACCACTGCTGAATTAACCGTCGGTAAAGCTTTTGTTGTCAAGGGTTTAATCCTGGAGCTCTTTTGCAAAGACAACGACGCTGAGAAAGAAGGCAGGATTGTGATCCGCACATCGACAACCACATATCTGAGAGTTAGTTCCTTCCTCTTGGCTGCCTCAGTTGATTCCCTCTTTTTTCAGTTGCAATTGTAGACTGGCATGTTGCCAAGTAGCCACTGTGACAATATTCTGAATATAAAAGTATCGGGTGAAATGCTTCAATTGCAGAGCAGTTAGCAAGCCATTTCCAAAAATGATTTGAAAGGAAGTATTTGAACTGAGTGTCATAGCAAATGTGCCAATCATAGTTTGAGCGAGATGGTTATTCCCGCCTCTCCCAGAGTGCTAAGCCCACTGAAGACTGCTATATTGTGGTCTCCTTGCAAGGAACAGCTGTCTGGAGCATTTGGGGGTGATCTCAAGTCTTCTCCTAGTCCAGAGAGGAATTTGGAAGAGCCTGTCTACTCACTGGTTCTTCATTCTGCTGCAGAAGTCCTGGTTTTAGAAGCCAGGTTCATATGGACTTCTTTTAGTTAGTTTTAGTACCAAGAAGGAAGGGGTTAGAGTAACAAACTTTGAGAGCTGAGTTAGGGATCTTCCAGCCCTTTTGTACTAAACAAAATACAATTGTTCATGAAGGTGGAGTCTCCTTCAAGGGTTTAAATATCATTTTTCCAAAGAGTTGGCATCCTGGGCTAGGAATCCATTCCTCCAAAAAGCCAAAAACAAGCTCTCCAATCTACTAATGATAACAGCCTCTCTTCTTTCAGTCTCAGGATAGTTTCACACATTCAAATTGTGAACTACTTCAGATTACATGGACTTATCTGTCATTTCTGGAGGGCAACCAGGCAGAAATTTAGCCTGCTCAATTCAGAGTCCTGTAAATGAGGATCTATTAAACTAAGCTTACACTGTATTATAGAGCTGAGCAAATGGGCAAATTAAGTTACTAGTTAACAAGCTTAACCACATGGAATTATTCTTAACTGAAGCGTCAGGATTAAATAATAGGGAGACGATGTCCGATAAAGCCAAGCATTGCTTCTAGAATTCTCTTTATTTCTCAGAATGAACTTATTCCTTTGACTTATTAGGCGTCCACAATCAACCGTTTCGTGAAAGATTTCCTGCACAGCCAGAACGAAATAATGTCGTTGTGGAGCCAGCTGATAAAGCACGAGGTTTTCCTGCAAAATAATGAACATTCCAAGTTTCTTCGTTTTAGACTGACGTCTGCAAAGAAGGAATTTAATCTGACGGCAGCTTACTGCCACTTGGAAGCGGTAAGGTGATCAGTAGAGAGCGGGGGGGTTGCAAAGAAGAACAGGAGTGATGGGAACTACGAAGGGACACAATGCTGGCTGGGGAATTCTGGGAGCTGAAGTCCACAAGTCTTGAAGCTGATAAGTTTGGAGAGCCCTGTCTAGCCTTTCAGCTTTGTGTTTGTTGAGTTAATACCATTCACTTTTCATTGTATAATGTTTGTTTGTTTGTTTGTTTGTTTGTTTTTTTCCTTAAGTAGCTTAGTAATGGCTTCTTGTTTTCAGCCTAGAAAATCAAACATTTCTACATCCGTTATGTGGACAGACCATAAGAACCCACCTCTTGTCCTGCGGTTTGAGGCGCAGCTAGAAGAAGTGAAGAAAGAAAAAATGCTTTATCAGAAACGTGGAACTCTCCTGTTAAGGTACATTGGTTCCCTTCTCACCTGCCCGTATCCATTAGAATCTACAGCAGGGATAGGTTACCTGAGAGAGCCAGTTAGGTGTAGTGGTTAAAGCATCAGACTAGAAATCAGGAGACTGTGAGTTCTAGTTCGGTCTAAGGCACAAAGCCAGCCAGATGACCTTGAGCTGGTCACTTTCTCTCAGCTTTAAGAAGGAAGCAATGGCTTATTACAGGGGTCCTCAAACTTGGTCCTTTTATGACTTGTGGACTTCAACTCCCAGAATTCCTCAGCCAGGAATTCTGGGAGTTGAAGTCCACAAGTCATAAAAAGGCCAGGTTTGAAGACCCCTGGCTTATTACTTCTGACAGAACCATGCCAAGAAATCTGCATGGACTTGAATTATTGCCTAATGCAGACCAAAAGCTCCTGGCTTAACTGAAAACTTCACACATATTTTTCTTAAATGAAGCTGATGACATTTCCTCAAGTTTTCTTCCCTCGTTCATCTCCTTCCTTGCCTTCCAGGACCAGACCATGGTTCTGCTACCTTTACTTTTTTTTTTTTCAACTTTTAACTCCTAAAAGTGTTAGTCATCCTGCCAAGGGACACTGCAGTCCTGCTCCCAAGTCTTCTTCATTTCCTGAGGAGACCCCCTCAGCAGCCCCTATCTCCATCTCAACCGAGACCCCTGCTTCTTTTCCTTGGCATCCTAGGCATCCGCTAAGTCTCTCCATTCCACAAAGTCTTCTTCTCCAGGAAACATTCACAGTGAACAAGAAGGAGAAGCACTACTCTTTGGAAACCAGACTGGAGATTGACGAGCGGGAAGACTCCATTTTAAATCTCACCTTGGGCTATTCAGCTAAAAATCCATATGTAAGTGATGAGCATGGACAGAAGCAGGGAGGAGGGGGGGGGAGAGTCATTCTTGCTCTTCTCAAGAGCTGTAGAATTATCTTCCTTCCATCTCTAGGTGTGTGCAAGGTTGACTCACCCCTATAACAGCAGCATTTCCCCTCAAAATACAGAAGCGTGCATGATAGTGCGGAATCTCACCCATGTAAGTTGGAGGCAGAGCAGAGGGGAACAATTTTGCCAAATGTAAACTAGGAGCTCTGGGCCTGTTCAAATTTTTCTAAAGATGGCCCCCAAGCTTGCGTATTCTTACCCACAATAGTAGTTCAGATTCTAAAAGAATCTTGGCCAAATGGCCTCCAAATTATGGACTGTGTGCCTACTGGAGTCCTTCTAGAGATGGCTCCAAGCTTGTTTTTTTCTTAGCCACTATAATAGTTCACGTTCTAGAAGAATCTTGGCCAAATGGCTTCCATATTATGGACTGTGTGCCTACTGGAGTCCTTCTAGAGATGGCCCCAGGTTTTGTTTTCTTACTCACAATTATAGTTCAGATTCTAGAAGAACCTTAGTCAGATGGCTTTCAAATTATGGACTGTGTGTCTGTTTGAGTCTTCTACTGATGTTCTCAAGCTTATGTTTCCTTACCCATAATAATAATTCAATTGCTAGAATGATCTGGGGCAAATGGATTGCTTTCTCTCTCTCTGGGACCCTGCAAGGGTGGCTAAATTCAAGTCCCCAATAACACCAGCCAACAGACCAAAAAGAGAAGGATGCTGCAAGTTGTAGGTCTACCAGAGAAGTCTACAAGTTCTCTGTCCTTGTTTCCATAGTCAGAAATGGTAAGTGAATCAGTGAACGTGTGGTCAGGGAGCTAGAAGAATTTACTAGGAGTTCTGAAGCCAACTAGAAGACGATAAGCTTGGGGTCTACCATCCAAGACCCATGTGGTCTTAGCACCAGTTTTCCTTATCTTGACACTAATCTTAATCCTTGAGTTCTGCATAGTCTCTGAGATTCCAAATTTAGGTGTTTCTTTGTTGAGCCAGCAGTTTGAAACCATGAAACTATCAAATCCTACAGGCTAATCAAGAGCTTGAAGTGAAACTGAAAATCAGTCAAGAAGAAGTACTGAGCTTCCTGGGAAAATACCAAAATAAATCTAGCATGGGCCAATCCCACCATCTAATACAACTGGATGTCACCCATTCATTCCAGGTACATATAACCATATTAACAATTTAGGATTAAAACTGAATCAATCCCAAAGGAGAAAGCAGAAGCCAGGTCTGGAGGTATGTCATAATCAAGGAAAACAAATGCTGAGCTAGGTTTAGGGATCCAACATCTCTAGAAGGTTTGGGAAAAGCTGATCTGTGTCATAAGCACAGTTAAGCTTCTTTTAACTCCTTTTTTAAAAAACAGGTAATCCAACAGTTCAACATTTGGCTTAATGGACCAGACTCTGGATTTGAACTCTACCCTCAATTTCTTCAACAGAATTGGTCACATTTCCCGCAAACTATTCAGGTACTGGAAAAGATATTCTCCACAGTCACCTGCCATCATTTAAGTTGACTCTTTTGCCTTTTTTTCTTCCCCAATTCTATCCATTCACTAAACCAAAACACCGAACCAACACCACAGTTTGGTCAAAAGAAGAAAATCGAGCTGGTGACCTTGTGATCGTTGTTACTAGTTACATGATCAGCTAACACTGGTGTTCTAGCACTGATGATGTTACCTAGTTGGGTAATAAAACATCTACAAGAAAATAACCAAGCTCAGAGAGCACCCAGGACCCCATAGTTGTCGTTGTCGTCCTCTTCCTCCTCCTCCTTCCCTCCCTCCCTCTCTTCTAGCAATGATGATGTTACCTAGTTGGGTAATAAAACATCTGCAAGAAAACAACCAAGTTCAGAAAGCATCAAGGACCACAGTCCTCCTCCTCCTCCTCCTCTTCCTCCTCTACTCCATAAAACCCACTCCTTTATATCACTGATGATGTTGCCTAGTTTGATAATGAAACATCTGCAAAAAAAACCCCATTAAGTTCAGCTAGCACTAAGGATTGCACAATTCAACCCTCAGCTACAAATATTCTCTTCTATTGGTAGGATCTGTGATTTGCAAAATGCGCCCATTGTTTGAGGATAGTATCTTTACATACTTTCTTCTCCCGTTCTCATCATGCTTCTTTTGGCATCTGGGGCATTGATTTTGGGCCAACCAAGGACTTTAGCGCGATCTTTTGACTCTGTTTTCCTGATGCTTTAGGCCCAGGCCAGTCTAAGCTGTCACGGCCAAAACCGCCTCAACGGATCTTTTGACCTCCACACCAATTCACGGAATCTAATATTCCTGGAGGCCAATTTTGCCAATGAGATAAAAAGAAACATCCGAGCCTTTCGTGCGAGCGCTGCCCTAAAGCAAGATGTTCTAGATCAACTTAAATACCTGGGGCTGCAGTTCCTGAGTAAGGTGACACCATCAAGGTAAATAAAGTGAGGGTGGCTGATAATCCAGAGATGGCTTGAAAGAAACTTTATATCTGTACTCAGAGGAAAAACAAAAGCAGAACATCTTGACTCGTCGAAATGACCTTTCCGTAGTTCTGCAGAATTGTAAACATTATAGAAAGCTCCTTTATTTCGGTGTAAAATTGTACCGGCTGCTTTCTTAGCCTTTTTAGAATACCGATAATGTTGATTTCTCATCCGTTTCTTTCTTACAACAGGCTGCTGTTGACATCATCAGTAAAGTTGAATCATCGTTCCTTCCAGGTGGGCGTTTCAGGATCCAAGGAACAGAAAGCCGGTGTGGTGACCCTCCGTGGCCACGTGCAACACAACCTCGAAAGCATACGGCTCATCGTACCTCAAGATTTCTCCCTTAATGGTTCTCTGAAGCACCGAATCAATTTTAACGAAGGTAGAGCATCTCTGTTGGTTTGGACTGCTGAAAGAAAAGTCTTCATCGTAGTTCAGTCCAAGCTGGGAATAAACATGGCGACTGCTTTAGAAAGAAAATTGCAGTTTATTGAGGAGGAGAGCCAGACAGAAAGATGGCTCCAGCAGAAAAGAGAGAGAGCACATGTAGGGAGTGGGTTTTTATACCCTCTGGAGCCTTTTGTTTGGAGTTGTTTCCTGTTCCTCTTTGAGGCTATTTCCTGTGTCATGTATTCTGACCTGAGTCTGGGTGTGCTTTTCTGGTATTCTGATGGTTATGGGTTAATCCTATTATGTCCCAAAGGTCATATCCTGCTTCCCTGGGGCTGATGACTCTTAGAGTTTGGGTGAGGTATGTAGATTTTAGGTGTCTTTGTCTTCTTAATCTTCTAGCTTCCATCTTCCTGGATTTGCATCTGCATTTCTACAGAGCTGGCCTCTGCCTGGGGAAGAGAGACCCGGGACCATTAAGAAAACTGGGCATAATTTTCTGCCTCTTTAAGATCCTTTGAGGAAATATATTTTTCTGCCCTTTTAATATTTCCTTCTCTGGGGGGCTGACTTCCCACAGGACAATCAGATAATCAGGGCCACACTGAATGCTACCAGGTAGATCTAGGATTTTCAACTTCTGCTGCTTTGGGGAGAACAAAGGTTAACAACCTTCTGTGGTGAAGCCTCATGGTAATCGGGTTGTAATGGGGAGGCCACATGACACGGGAGGCTGCAACCATCGTAAATGCATGCTGCTTGCCAAGCACAGGTAGTCCTTGACTCACAACCACAATTGAGCCCCAAAGTTTTTGTTGCTAAGAGACACATTTATTAAGTGAAAGTTGCTCCGTTTTATGACCTTTCCTGCCACAGTTGTTAAGTGAATCACTGTGGTTGTTAAATTAGTAACACGGTTGTTAAGTGAATCTGGTTTTCCCATCGACTTTGCTTGTCAGAAGACCAGGATCCTGCAACTGTCATATAAATATGAGCCAGTTGCCAATTTGGATCACTGTGACCGTGGAGGATGCTGCAGAGGTCGTAAATGCGAAAAACGGTCGTAAGTCACTTTTTTCAGTGCCGTTGTAACTTTGAATGGTCACGAAATGAACTGTTGTAAGTTGAGGACTGCCTACATCCCAGTTTTGATGACGTGGCCATGGGGATGCTGTTACAATTGTAGGACACTTTTTTCAGTAATTTTGAAGGATTCCCAAATCCATGGTTGTAAGCCGAGGACAATCTGTCGAGAGTTACAATTTCTCTGGCAACTGTGGCAAGGCTGTAATCTCATAACCTTGGTTTATGCCGTCCTGATTCAACCCTGATTCCCTTACTTGTGTCTAACAGGTCTTGTGACCGTTGCAGTGAACCGCTCCATTTTTTCCATTCATGTCCGAAGGAAATGTCTGTTTGGAAATGAAAGCTTCTCTAGCATGAGGGTGACTGTGACCCAGGATGGCGGTAATATCTTTTCAGCCCAGGGCAAACTGAAAAATTCCCTGGAATTGAAACGAAGAATCCAAAGGGATGAAGCCCATGTCCAGAAGGGTGCAAGAGCTCTCTGTGTTGACCCTGCAGATATTTTCCTTCAGAATGAGGTTGGATTCACAGGCACACTCACACACAACATCAGCCACTGCTATGCAATAGGTAATGAATGTTGAATGGTTTGCTTCTTCATTTTAGAATCTTTGAGAAAGTTCCTTGAATTCATACTAGCTAGAATTTAAAGCTTCATCCATCACTGCGTTGTGAGGATTGGATTTTTTTGTTCAGTTCTTCTCCACAAGGACACTTAACTTTTTGTTGGTTCAGAAAAACCGTCAGGCTAGGAGGTTGAGCTCTCCACTAAACTGTCTCCTTCTCCATTGTCTTCTCCAGGACTTCCCATGGAAAGTAGCATCAAGGCCATGTATGGTCACAATGATACTTACCAGACAGTAACTGTGGACCTTCAAGGGGGCAACCAGAAGATTAGTGTCATGTTTGAAGTTGAGAAGTTGCATCCAGAAGCCCTTCAAACCCAGTTCACTGCCGTCATTAACCATAGTATTGCAGAGCTGAAGAAACATGGCCTTCCATCTCAGGTACAATGCATCTGTTACTATCAAGTAAGGGAAACAATTAGTCGGAGATTAACTAATTGCTGCAAAACAGGAATTTGACCCTCATCACTTCTTGAGTCAGCCTAAAGTACAGCTTGATAGTGGTCGGGGCAAGAGGCTCATAAGAGACTATCTCTAATTTCTCAGGGGAAAAGAATAGGGGAACAGAATTGTACTTCAATCTGGCAAGACAGATGTCAACCTTACAGGTACAGCAGATAAGAAATATAACCAGATCATCCAATTCTACTTTATTGTAAGATTAACAGAAACTCACAAGTGTGGAAGTACTATTCTCTCCCATCTCCTTTACAGTGCAAGATACTAGGAAAGATCTCCTTGTCTTACCTACTATCCAGCTGTAGGCTATGTAGCCTCTTATCTGATAATCCCCTAAGCAGCATCTCTTCACCCAATCTCCCAAAGTCATCTCCACACACCATCACACCTTAGAACTTTTCTATGCCCGTCTACTGCTCTGCCACCGAGCTATAAATCTTTCCTGGCCTACATCAAAACATGGCTTGTATTTCAGCTGTATCATCCTTGTTGATATTCTACAGGTCCAGTGTGATGGAGAACTCGGATCTCATCGGCTTTCTGTCCAATGTAGTGGAGAGTTGGCAAATCATTCTTTAGAGGTACAAGACTTTTTTCTCCAAGTTTGGGCAATGATAGCATCGACCATGAAAATTAACCTCACTAACTTTAGACTCAGAGATAGATAATAGACTGACTGGCTCACGTACCCAATTTGTGTATTTGTCTAGATCGGGGAAAAACTAAGGTGACACTTTGATCCTTTTCTCTTGTAGGCATCATTAAGAGCATTGCTCCATGGACCAGAGGTGTCCAATGACTCTGCACCCAGTGTAATGAAGGAAATGTTTTCTAATAGCAGTTTTGCTCCATGGTGTAGCCACACAGCATGCAACCTGGAGTATGTTCTGGAAACCAGCTTCAGCCATGCTTGGCCTTATCTTAAGTCTCTGGGCCTCGCCCAAGAGAATAGGGTGAAAATGGCCATCACAAGAGGGGATCCACACAAAGTCCTTGTAGAAATCGCTCTGGGAAGTTGCAAGTGGATGGGCTATGGAGATCTGAGTGCTGAGGCTGGAGGAACAGCTGCAGAATGGAGGGTGACTTTTCTGAACAAATCTGGTGCTTTGGAGGTGATCATGCAAGACTTTCTTCTAAGAGTTTCTCAAGCTCAAGAGAGTAGATGAGAAGAGGTCTCACACAGTCCGTGAAAAGCAGCATAGTAGCAGATATGATATTATAACTTATAAATTATGTATTTATTTATAAATTATAATTATAGCCAGTTTGGTCCAGTGATCAAGGCACCAAGTTAGAAACTGGGAGATCCTGAGTTAATAATAATAATAAAGTTGGAAGGGACCTTAGAGGTCATCTAGTCCAACCCCCTGCTCAGGCAGGAAACCCTATATCGTTTAAGACAAATGGCCATCCAGTCTCTTCTTAAAAACTTCCAGTATAGGAGTATTCACCACCTCTGGAGGCAGGTTGTTCCACTGGTTAATTGTTCTCACAGTCAGGAAGTTTCTCCTTAGTTCCAGGTTGTTTCTCTCCTTGGTTAGTTTCCACCCGTTGCTTCTTCTCCTGCCTTCAGGCGCTTTGGAGAATAGCTTGACTCCCTCTTCTTTGGGGCAGCCCCTGAGATATTGGAAGACTGCTATCCTGTCCCCCCTCGTCCTTCTCTTCATTAAACTAGTTCTAGTCCTGGCTTAGGCATGCAAGCCGGCTGGATGACTTTGGGACAATTTGGAGGTTTTCAAGAAGAGACCGGATAGCCATTTGTCTGAAATGGTATAGGGTCTCTTGCTTGAGCAAGGGGTTGGATTAGAAGACCTCCAAGGTCCCTTCCAACTCTGTCTTCTGTGTCCTATCTCATCCAGGTCAAAGATTAGAAATGGATTGCCTTCACACGTTTTTGTTTTGTGTCTCACAATAGGATCGTGGCTTCCCAAATTACGCACAGGTCAATGGATCGCTTCTGAAGGAGGGTGGCCGAACAGAGTTCTTCAGCAGCCTGCAAGTGGGAGACCAAGAGTCCTATTTCACAATAACAACCAAGTGCCAGCCAAAGTTCATTTTAGAAATGGAGCTAAGACACGGGCTTTCATTCTTCAGCAGGGTCCCAAAAGAAAATAAGCTGATTGTCCATTGTGGGAGACGACTCAAGCATGCCCTAAGCTTGGAACTGAAATCTGGACTTTGCCAACTCCAAGCCAGCTTGGAGATCAATGCAGGAAACCGATCCCAGTGGCAAGCAGTGATGGAGAACTCCTGCCACATGATACAGGTATAATCTTGGCCAGTGGACAGAGTAAGGAAGGTGACCTGATATTAGACTTGCATTTCTAGCGGAAGAAAGTTCTGCCAAACTGGAACTGAGAGAGCACATTTAGCTATGGTTCAATAATAACCCTCCTTAGGGGGTGCTGTGGTGAAGCTCTCGTTTTCATTTCAGGATCTTGGAATCCCAACAAAAATGAATGGATCAGGGCACGTATTAAAGGATAAGGTCAATCTTGATTCTCAAGTGGTGCTTACTGTTGGTGGAAACACTGTCGCTGCATTCCTCCTATTAAAAGGCACGGCTGTAAGTAATTGCTCGGCCAGACTGAATGACTTTTGAACGTGGAGTGTAGGGCTATTGCTAAGCCCGATTTGGCTTGCTTCTTTCGATTGTCATCTTTTATTTGCTAGAGAAAATCAGGGCTTTCAATGAGCTGGATGGCTAATGCAGGGATAGGCAACCTTAGCTCTTTTATGACTTGTGACTTCAATTCCCAGAATTCCTGAGCCAGCATGGCTCAGCTTGGAAACCTCTCTCTTTTCCCTCAGCATGGCTGGCTCAGGAATTCTGGTCCACGAGTCATAAAAAAGCCAAGGTTGCCTATCCCTGGCCTAATGTAAGGCACCTAAGGAATTTGTTGCCAGTATAGAAGCACTCGGTGTATTTGCAAATTAATAGAGAAATAATAATCCATATCTGCCTATCCCAGGTCCTTGGAAAGGACTCGTTAGGTAGACAAAAATGCCAATCCCAGTCTGAACATCTGGCCTACTGTGTGAATAATAATAATAATAATGATGATGATGATGATATCCTCATCTGTGTCGTATACATATATGTGTGTGTATGCAAAATGGTATTTTTTTGAGAGCTGTATGCAACAAAATTTCATTTTAATTTATGCTGATTAGTTTACATTTAAAGTTTCTATTCTACTCTATGCCTGAATTTTGATCATGTGACCATGAGGATACCGCAAGGGTCATATATGTGAAAAACTGTCATAAGTCCCTTTTTTTCATTGCCATTGTAACTTCAAATGGTCAACTAAATGAATTGATGTAAGTCGAGTACCTGTAGTTTTTTGTTCACTGGCACACTTGATTTCGTTTGATCATATTTCCTGCAGACTAGACAAGAATTTCACGCACTTCTGGATCAACACATCAAAGGGGCCACTCACTCTGGCATTCCTGCAAGGACAGAAGTGGATTTAATTTCAGAAAAGAGTAGGAACCTTTGTGAAAGGCTGCTTCAATTCAAGGTGGATGGCAAGCAGGTAAACCACACTTTCTTTGATTTAGGTTTCAGGTTACATGAGTTGGCTGCCTCCATCGCAGGTGAACCCCACAGGTTAGGAAAAAAGACGTATGTAAAAGTAAGATTTTCCAAACAACTAACCACAGAAACATAGAATAACTTTGGAGGTCTTCTAATCCAGCCTCATGCTTGACCAGGAGACGCTATACCATTTCAGACAAATGGTTGTTCAATCTCTTCTTTAAAACCTCCAATGTTGGAACACCCACAACTTCTGACGGCAAGCCGTTCCACTGATTAATTGTTCTCACTGTCAGGAGATTTCTCCTTAGTTTTAGGTTGCTTCTCTCCTTGATTAGATTCCATCCATTGCTTCTTGTCCTGCCTTCAGGTGCTTTGGAGAATAGCTTGACCCCCTCTTCTTTGTGGCAGCCCCTGAGATATTGAAACACTACCATCATGTCCCCCCTGGTCCTTCTTTTCAATAGACTAGACATTGGCATAAACAGGACCAGACTTCTTTTAAACAAGGGCTTTATGCTCAGATGTCAAAGATGACCAATGCTCTATTTGCTCCTTGGATAAGTTGTACAGTTCCTACGAAGAACTGGACAAAAAAAACAACAACCCCAATTTATCTTAGGAAAAAACAAGGTTGTGATCTTGTAATGATGACCTCCATTCTTGCAAAACTGTGGGAGGAATGATGAGAAGATGAAGCTTTCCAATCTTAATCTCTTAATCCAAAATAAAGCATGACCTTTGAAACTCAAATACTTTGGCCACCTAATGAGAAGGAAGGACTCACTGGAGAAGGGCCTAATGCTGGTAAAGATTGAGGGCAATAGAAGAAGGGGACAACAGAGAATGAGATGGCTGGATGGAGTCACTGAAGCAGTAGGTGTGAACTTAAATGGACTCCAGAAGATGGTAGAGGACAGGAAGACCTGGAGGAATATTGTCCATGGGGTCGCGATGGGTTGGACACGACTTCGCAATTACAACAACAAAGCATGACCTTGTTCCCCCACATTTACATTTCCGGTAAAAATCCAGCCACTCTCATCCAATCCTGCGTGAAAAGAACCAAATCATTTCCTAGCCTCTTTGCCAAAAGTGAAGGTTACATTACTCCATTATGTGACATCTCTTTCTGCTGATAACCACAGGCCTTGGTGTCTTCTTCTCTCAAGCGTGGAAGAGCCCAGATTGCTTATTCTGCCATTATCGCACAGCCTTTTAACTTCACGATGAAGCACATTGAGGTTAGCTCCCTGACCCAAAGCCACAAAGGAGCATATGCGCAACAGGTAATTGGAGAGAATGATCTCCAAGGTGTTCTACTCTGCATTAATTTGTTCAAAAATAAATGTATCTGATTAAGTCCAACCATTCCTTCTTCTAAGGAATGAGATATTGTGAAGCTGGATCCACTTAAATTTGACCAGAGAATTAGCTGCCTGGAATGGAGTTACACTCTGTAAATAAAAATGAAAATGTTTCAAAACATAACTGGTTTGAGAAATGCAGTAATGGGAGCTGATGGTTTTTCTTGAATAGTACTAAGAAACAAAGGTTCCCTAATATCCAGTGTTAAACAACCAACATGATATCATGGTTGACTTTGAGTTGGGATCAGAGAGATCTAGGTTGAAGTCGGCACATAGGTTGTGAAGTCTGTGCAGTTTGTCAGATGACTTTGGAGCATCCCTCTCTTGCAGCCAAATTGTGTGGAGATATTGTTGTCCCCTTTGAGCTTTCAAGAGAAATTTCTTTTCTGAGTTTTAGATGCAAATAGCTTGGAACCATGGCCAGCCGGCCTGGATGAACTTCACGTTTGGAGACAAGTCCAGGGTGAGGGACACATTTTGGGATACTTGTATCACAGCTTCTTCTGGACAGGTATGAATGTTGGCTTTCAGCAAAAAGGGATTTCAGGGTTGGGCAGTGAGTGGACTATCCAGAGACACAAAAAAGATATAAACAGTGGAAAGGAATAACATAATTTGGGGAGACAAATCAGATGTGGCATTACTGTAAGTGTATCTTTGAGTTTGATAGAAGTAGCAATAACACCGAGACTTATATATCACTTCACAGTGCTTTATAACCCTCTCTAAGCAGTTTACAGAGTCAGCATATTGACCCCCCCCCAACAATCTGGGTTCTCATTTTACCGACTTCGGAAGGATGGAAGGCTGAGTCAACCTTGAGCCGGTCAGGATCGAACTGCTGGCAGTGGACAGAGTTAGTCTGCGGTATTGCATTCTAAGCACTGCCCCAACATGGCCCACTTCTTTTGAGTTTGATACAGCAAAATCTTTAAATTCAAATAATTTAAAGAGTGCGCGATCAGGGTGGAGAAGGACTCTAATAAACTGGTTTTGCTTTACTGTAGACCTCAGGAATGGTCCTCTTCAGAAGCTTGAGGAAGCTTCAGAAAAATTCCTGGGAAATCAAGAAAGAACACCTGGGAAACAGAATGTGCTTTATGCCAAAAGAATTGATTCAATTTTTCTCCAGGGCTAGTGAGCCAAAAGGTGGCCTCCAACAATGTTTTACATTCTTTTTTGGCAGCTTAAAAACATCCTAACTATTGCAAGTCTCCAGGCCTGTGGCTCCCTTAAGCAGACAGCAGCCATGTTGAATCAGCACCTAGATCTTACATGGGATAACAAGATGGTTGTACAACATCTGACCTATGAGGTAAAGGAAAGCTGGTTTCGTCATCAAACTTTCAGTCTCCCTGCTTACTGAAGGCAGGATTTGTAGTTCTTGGAACACAAAGTGTGTGTGATCCTGGGTCTCTGATAAAGATTCAGAGGCGTAAATAAACAGCCGCCAAAAGACAATCAGGAAATCTTTGCAGAATAATCTAGTCTAGTGAAAAGAAGGACTAGAGATGACATGATAGCGGTGTTCTAATATTTGAAAGAAGAGGGGATCAACCTTGTTTTCCAAAGCACCAGAGAGCAGGATAAGAAACAACGGATGGAAACTAATCAAGGAGAGAAGCAATCTGGAATTAAGGAGAAACTTCCTAATGGTGAGGACAATTAACCAGTGGAACAGCTTGCCTCCAGAAGTTGTGGGTGCTTCATCACTGGAGGTTTTTAAGAAGAAATTGGACAGCCATTTATCTGAAATGGTATAGGTCTCCTGATTGATCAGGGGGTTGGACTAGAAGACCTCCAAGGTCCCTTCCAATTCTGTTGTTTTGTTAAATTAGTGGACCAGCGAATATACATCATAATATATTGACTCTAGGTGGAAAACAGTTCACTCGGTGGAATTCACGTAACACCATTCTTTTCATCTCAACAAATCTTGCTAACGAAAACTGGGATAATATCGCTTGGAAAAGAATCAAGTCCAGGATGAGTTACTTGCCAACAATCCTCAGATATAAAACAAAGGTCAGGAACCAATACGGCTTCTAACTGCAGTCATACAACCTTGATGTACAGGCACATTACTGCACCCTTAGATACCCACAACTCCGGTAAGGTTTGGTAAAATCTCAAATCAAGAACATGGAATAACAGAGTTGAAGGGACCTTGGAGGTCTTCTAGTCCAACCCCCTGCTCAGACAGGAAACCCTATACTATTTCAGACAAATTGTGGTCCAATCTCTTCTTAAAAATTTCTAGTGTTGGAGTACCCACAACTTCTTGAGGCAAGTTATTCCACTGGTTACTTGTTCCAGGTCTGCACAAATCTCAGAAGAGTCAGTAAACTCTCATGAGATATCAACAAATTTCTCATGAAATTTCATCAGCTCTCCTCCTGGAGTGTTTTTCAAGCAACATTTGGCTTAATTGGGGAAGCAACACGTGTCATGGGACCTGCAGCTTCCAACCTGCTAACACAAGAAGAAAAGAGACCTTCACCCAACAAAGTGGCAATATAATTGTGGGGCTTTTTATGATGTGAAATTAAGATTGGATTACAATGTTTTTATAAATGTGCTAGGAGAGATTATATCTCTACCTAAACATTTCTCTGAGATAATTAATTCAATTAAGTTCCCATTCAAACATGGAGCTCATTGCTTGTCTTTGGGTCTCAATTCAAATAAACTAAATTATTGTAGTTGAATACAATGAAGAAAAGATACATACACAGACTCTCTAGATTCAATGCTTTGAATTTTAAAGGACAGGGGAATAATAATGAAGTGAAACAGAACGAATGTGTTTACAATGTATGTGAATTCTGCTGTGATTCTGGGCCTCTGTCCCAATCATTTTATTTTAATTATTGTATTAAACATTTCCGGAAAGAAAAAAAAAATACATAACAATGTAGGTCCTTTTTGTCACCCCCTTCTCAGAATGTGCCACAGTTTTATTTCTGCCTCCTTCTTTTCTTTGACTGCAGAGAAGCCAAAAGTTGCATCAGGATAAAATGCTGGTACAAGCTACTTTAAAGAATCTCTTGACCTCGTGTTCCCATCAGCGTATTCTGGGAAAAGTTGAAACGGATTATTCGTCTTGGCTAAACTATGACGTGAGACTCGGGATGTGTGATCTCCCAAATGTGAGTGATGATTTGGAAGGGTTTCAGCCAGAAAGTATTTTAATAACTTCTGGATGTGAGGGGTCCTTGATGCTGGTTGTTTTCTTACATAATATCTCATTACTAGTAACCCTATTCCATTACCAGCACTGATGATGTTATCTAGTTTGGTAATGAAACGTCTGCAAGAAAACAATCGGGATCAGACAGCACCAAGGACCCCACAGTCATTGTCCTCCTCTTCCTCCTCCTCCCCCCCTCCTCCTCCCCTTCCCCCTCCCCCTCCCCCTCCCATTCTCTTTCTCTCCACTTTGTAAACCCCACTCCCTTCTAGCACTGATGATGTTACCTAGTTGGGCAATGAAATATCTGCAAGAAAACAACCAAGCTCAGAGAGCACCAAGGACCCCTCATTTCAACTCTAAGCTGCAAATATTCTCTTTTATTGCTACTTCTGAATGTGTTCTGGGTTCCAACCTAGAGCTCTCCAATTGTCCATTGTTTTCTGAAGACTGACCGTCCCTGACCTTATTTGCTTCGTACCCTCTAGGCAATTGCTCTTTCCGGAAAATTCCAACTAAACCAGGGAGACACTGCCGTACGATCCGAAGGGAAAATCAGCCTTGGAGACAATGAAGGGGCAATTATGGTGGCTTTACAGAACAACAGCAAGCTGGAAATGAGGAACTACTCGGCGGAATTTTCAGTGAGCTGGTGGTAACTAATAAGGGGAAATGCTGCATCTTTCTGGTTCTTTTTTCTTCTTCTTTGAACTCATAAAAAGATAGCAATGCTGTTTTCTCATCTTAGATTGCCCCAGAAGGTGACTATGGGAAAAGGGGAGGGGGCATGATGTGGCTTATCTTAAAGACAAATGTGTACCATTTTGTACTAGAATAGAATAGAATAGAATAGAATTTTTTTTCTTTTAATGACCCCATAATCCCTTGTATTGGGGTGGAATTGGGGCAACTGAATGGAGCTGAGCGTTTACTGGCTGGATGCTCTTCCCAACACCTATGTGGAGCTCAGAGCAGATATTTTCTTTTTGCATCCCAAGAGAGAAATATATCTGCCACTCCCTAGGATTGAATTCACAGCCTCCTGATAGGCCACCATGCTGCTCAAAGAAAATAGTAGTAGTAGTAGTAGTAGTAGTAGTAGTAGTAGTAATAATAATAATAATAATAATAGGAGGAGGAGGAGGAGGAGAAGGAGAATGGGGAAACTTAGCAGGAACATAGCTGAATGAGGTGGTGATATGAAGTCTCTTAAGCTTTGGGAAAAACAAGCAAAGGTATATCTGTGCATCCTGTTCTGAGCAATTTTTGACTGCAAAAGCCTCCCTCCCAAGATAAATGCAACTATCAGGAGATTAGTTATACAGTAGCTGCCTGAAACATCTTTTTAACATACCATTCAACGGGTTAGTGAGTATACACTGCCACCTCATGATCGAGATAGTCAACAGTTTACATCAAGAGGAGAATCCACAATCCATATGAGCCAAAAACACCCCTCTTATTATGACATCCATCATCAACTCTCCCACGAGTTTGTAAAATCACAGTTATCCTGAAAGCAGAAATGGGAACTGATGATGTCCATAATGCTTTCTCCCCAAGCCATGTTTTTAACCTTCTCCCAAAGCCGATGAGAAAGTAGACATGGGCTGAATCCTTCTTGAAACTTAAACTTGAAATGGTGTTGGATGGAACAAAAATATTGGTGAAAGAGCAGATCCAGCAAAGAGTTAGTTGTTGCTAGGCATAAACAATCTAGCTCAGGGACCAAAGATGGTAACTCTCTAATTTTTTTCCCATAATTACACTATTTTACCCTGTAGTGTACATGTGAGATTTGTCTCCCTTGCATAGCTAAAAGGACCTGAGGCTATTTGGATGGATGTGAAGGCCTATGTGACCTCTTCAGTTGATCAAAGCCAAGTCCTTGTTGAGGGAAAGATGGATCAACCAAACGAGAAAGTGAAAATAATAGCCATCAAAGGGAAAGGGTGTCTTCGGTATTACACAGGATACTTGAAAGGTAAATTCAACAATATAGGTGCCTATTCCCTTCCTTGATTTTCAAAATTTGCCTCTTCTGAAAGGAATTACTACAAAAATTTTCCCTCCTTCCTTTCTTCCTTCCTCCCTCCCTCCTACCCTCCCTCCCTCCCTCCCTTTTTCTTTCTTTCTTTCTTTCTTTCTTTCTTTCTTTCTTTCTTTCTTTCTTTCTTTCTTTCTTTCAATCTTTCTTTCTTTTTTTCTTTCAATCTTTCTTTCTTTCTTTCTGCTTTCCTGCCTCTTTCATTCTGCCTCCTTCCTCTCTCCCTCTCTCTCTCCCTCCTTCTTTCTTTCTTTCTTTTTGCCTTCCTGGCTCTTTATATCTCCTTCCTTCCTTCCTTCTTTCCTTCTTCCTTCCTTCCTCTTTCTTTCTGCCATCCTGCCTTCCTCTCTTTCTCATAGGAAATTCTGAGGACAGACTAGAATTTGCAGCTTGTATGAATGGTCAAAAGCATGTGGCACTCAACGCTCGCCTCCTTGTAAACAGACATGAAGAAACAGGATATGTCACCATGGAAGCATCTAACCAAAGTCTAAATCTGAAGGCCCATGGCTGTTGGGATCTCATCATGAAGACTGAGGTGAGATGCCATTCGTCAAAAAAGGACCTGGTCTGTCTTTCTCTCATTCAGTTTCCTACGTGGCAAACCAATAAACAAATTTAGCTTAAAAAGTAAGTGCATGTAAAAGGTCGTAGAGATGCAGCTACAGTACTAGATTTGTAGCTGACCTTGTTAACAAATTGGATCCATGCTATAACTGTGTTGGAGCCCACATTTTAAGAAAATCCCTATGTGACGGCCTCTCTCAAACAAATTAATCTTTAATTATGGTAGTTAGATGCAATTAAGTTGACTTCAGCTCTTGGTGCCTGTACAGTATGTTCAATTCTTACCACCTTACTCAATCTTCAGTTATAACCCATAGTATTTTGATGGACATTCCAGATATCTCCTTGATTTCATTCAGTGTCTTCCCCTTCTTCCAATTCCTTCAAACTTGTCAAGAATAATCTTTGTGGTTTTTTTTAATCCATCAACATTGCATGCTCAAAATATATCAATGTCTGCTTACCGGTCTTCATCTCGTAAGTCAGCCTTTATTTGTCTGGGACTGATCAATGGCTTCTTCTTGCAGTCCACGGGACTCTAATAAGCAATGACAAATCCATAATTTTAAGACATTTATCTTTCCTTTCTCCAAGTCCAACAGTTTCAGTTTTTAGCTTTAGCATCAGAACGACCATTAACTACTGTGATATTCATTGTCATAGAAATGTCCTCATCAATATTTATTCCACCCTCCTTCTTTTTTCTTTCTCTTTTTCTTTCTTTCCTTCCTTCTTTCCTCCCTCCCTCCCTCTTTCTTTCTGCTTTCCTGCCTCTTTATATCTTCTTCCTTCCTCCTTCCCTCTCTTCCTATTAATTTACTATATTAATTACCTTAAGAGTCTTTCCAATTCTTACAGTCAAAACTGGGTGAGATTGCATCTGATCTCCAGCACAGACTGGCGGCAAAAATAAAAAAAGGGGAGGAACGTATTCAGGACTTCAGAAAATCGGTAAGATATTAGGTAGCGACTGTGTGCATGTGTGTATGTGAATCTCATTTTTAAGCACCCAACTCTGTAGTTTAATCTTTTATTCAAGGAAGTAACCCTAATTCCATACAAAAATCTGGATTCCGTTCAGATTTTCTAACGATGCGTTGAATCCTGGATCAAACTGAGATTTATTTTCTTGGAAAGAAAAATTATGCAGCTCCCTGATGTCTATCAACTTTACATATTTACTTTAAAAAAAAAAACAAATATAGGTAATCCTCAAATTATGAACACAACTGGGATCAGAATTTCTGTTCCTAAGCAAAGCAGGTGTTAAAGGAATCATGTCCAATTTTATGATCATTTTGCCATGGTTCTTAAGCAAATCACGGTAGTTGTTAAATGAATTGCGTTCAACATTTCAGACAAATGCTTGTCCAATCACTTCTTAACAACTTCCAGTGTTGGAGCATTCACAATTTCTGGAGGCAGGTTGTTCCACTGGTTAATTGGTCTAAGGAAATTTCTCCTTAGTTTCAGGGTGCTTCTCTCTCTCCTTAGTTCGAGATAACCTGGTGAACGTGAAAAACGGGATTTGTGAACACACTCAAATTCACAGACATGAATTTGACATTTTATGAAGACCATTTTGGGCGCGAGAGATACACAGAAATCCAGAGAGATCAAATTACCTTTTTTTCAATATGGTTTGTACTATAGATCCAGCACATTGAATTTCTGTATGATGCTGTCAGCTGGTCTTTAGAAGCCTCCCAAGAGATGGTACAACTCCTGCACAGTGGGACAAGCCACATTGCTCAGATGTGGGAGCAGAGTGGATTTAAGCAACTCCTACGGGATCATCTCCCCATGTACCTGAGGAAGCTTCAAAGCATCCTACAACAGATCCAACTGGAGCTGCAAAGTAAGCACAGATGGGCAAAAGAAAGATATAAAATACAGAGGGAATAGCAGCCTTGAGGGACAGGAAGAAGGCAGTGATCAGATAAAAGAGTCCTGAGTCCCAGCCAAGAAAGTAACATGAGTCAACATCCTTCTTACTTCATACAAAGATAAAGGGAGGGGGAGAGAAACACATGCAGATTGGCAGGAAATCTATTTATTATTATTATTTATTAAATTGTTATCCCATCTTTATTACTTTTTAGGTAATGCATGGTGGTAAACATAAATAAGGCTCTTTCCACTTATCTTTGTCATGGGAAAAATTTGTTAAAAAGAAACAAGAGACAACACACAACAAAATTCTCATTTTAGTATCCAGACGTTTATTTAAATTCAGCACTTACATTTCAACAACCTATTGCAATAAGGACCAAACGGACAGCAGTCATTAAGTATGACAGCTGGGCCAGGTGGCAACACCCAAATCTTTGAAGCAGGCTTTATACCTTAACATTGTGCCCACCTCTAGCATTCTGGTGCCACCCAACAGTAACTAAATTTTGCTGTATTCAAAGAACTGGTTGGCTTCCAGAAGTCCAGTCTAGGTCTCAGAGATCTGGAGAAGACCTCCCAGACCTAGCACAGCCTGCTGGAAGTGCATGGATGCCACTTCTGGAAGTCTGTTCTAGGCTTTGGAGGCCTCCTAGGCCTAGAACGACCCGCCAAAAGTGCATGGATGCCACTTCTGGAAGTCCATTCTAGGCCTCGGAGGCCCAGGCCTGCATCGAATAAGAGAACCGGTTGTTCAGGTATTTAAATTCCACCACTGGATACATGGCTTTAAACTCAAAATAATTTAGGTGCTGGAAGTCTTGCAATCTCATTCCATTTGTGTCAACAAATCTTGCTAAAGAAAACACCGTGGGGATTGCCCTGAGAAAGAATTACGTGGATTTTAGCAGATGTGAAGGACATCGGCCATTAAGTTCTTGGAAAATATCTATTAAAGCTCCTTCAGGATGATAGGGCTTTATGGTAGATCTTCATGATTTTAATAGTTTTGTTCTTATTGTGTTTTTAAAACATCTTACTCAAGAGCCACTAACCACCCTAAAAGATGCCTACTATGATGTGACTTTGAAACCGTTGGATGAAGTTTGGCAACAGAAGACCGATGCGTATCTGAAGAAACTTCAGGCACTGGTGCCCAATGTTGTGAAAGACGTATGGCTGATGGAACCCATCCAGGTTGCAATGAGATTTCTGAAAACTGGCTTTGATATGGTTGGTATTATATACTTTCTCTTGCACACAGTTCCGTGTAGGACTTTTCTTAACAGGCTGCAAGGATGCTGCCTTGATCCTCTCAAAGAGAACGCTGAGGGTGCATGCTTCCATGTGCTTGGCCGGATCTTGTGAGTAAAATCTCCCACTTCCTGTTATATATGGCTTCCACAAATAAAATGAAATCAGATTCCTGTCCAAACCTTATCTAGTGAATAGGGATCTGTCGGACTCAAGTGACCAGTGACTAGCTTTAATCAGCAACTTTATTGCTTTCTACCTATACTACAAAAATCACTGCACACTCTTTGCTTTCCCCTAACAACAATCGCAAGGACTCCAGGCTAGGTCCCTGTTTGATCCTCCTTCAAGCCTGGCTGGCAGTTTCTCAACAGGACCTCTGCTAGGCAATGGATCCCAATTCTTCTGCTGAACATAAATGATCTGGAAGTCATTGTTTTAATTTTAGGTGGTGGTGTCAAAACCTGCAAGATGGCAGGCACGGTGTTGTGATCAAACCCCCATCCCATTTGGATGTGCATCCAATGGTGATTCAATGTCCTTCCTGCCACCTTGTAGATTTCAATCTTTCCTTAGATATCCATGTTTATGATGATGCTCCGGGGTTTCATGGAAAATGTAAATGAATGTTTGTCACCCACAACTGATGGACTCTTGTTTGGACTGCCTTTTCTGAGCAACGTTTGACAAGAAGAATCTTCACCCTGGAATAAATTATTCTGAGAAGGTCTGTCCAAGTTGCAGACTTTCCTTATCCTTCCCCGGCTCTGTTCCTGGGCTGAGAATTTGGGAATACAATTCCACACTCAGAAATACACGTCAAGGAAGGAAAGAAGTACAGGATTAGAATTTTGATTTTTATTTTGAACCATTTCTTCTTTTCACAGACCCACAGTTCCTGTCCTCCGGTTTAAAGATCAATTAAATATTTGTTCTGATGGTTTTTAATTATTTCTGTAGTGCCTGTTTTCCTCGTAAACCAGGGAGAGTTGTACAATAATGAATAAATATGTTTATTTATTCATTATAAAAATATAATGAATAAATAAACATATGTTCGTTTGGCGTTTAAATGCTTAATTCTGTTTTAATAATAAAATCTATACCTGATTATTATTTTATCATGATAACAGGCAACCCAACAGATACTACACTGGGCAGAAGCCAAATTATCCCGAATGTTGAGCAAGTTCCGAAAATCTATATCGAATCTGTACAGATTTTCATCCAGGTAGCAAACTGTGGACTTTTTCCCCCTCTCTTTTATGATTTCTTATTACATAGCTGTCTTCTCCTTGTTTTGCCTCTGATTATGTCCCAACTGTAGTTGTATATTGAGGACTATCTTCCCTCCACTCTAACAGACTTTTCAGGTAGTCCTCAACTTACAACAGTTTGGCTGGTTTTCAAGTGTGGCTTGGTAAAATAAGAGTCCAGGTATTTGCTTTGATACACGTTCATTCAGCTGATTAAAGATGGCGTCCCTCCAAGCAAGAGAGAACCTTGAACAGAAGATCACACACATATTTATGCTTTCCTTGCTTATCACTTTGTCACACAGGGGGTGTCACACATGGAGTCACATTGCAAGCTGGCACTCAGTAGATAAGATCAAGAAGTACAGAAATAGTCCACCACCTCCCTTGGTGGGATTCCAAGGATATTGGGTGGTATCCAGTGGTGGGATTCAGCCGGTTCGCACCACTTCGGCAGAACCGGTAGCTAATTTTATGTTGCCCAGGCCCGGAACGGACTTCTGGAAGCAGCATCCACGCAGAGAACCGGTTGTTCACATATTTGAATCCCACCACTCCTTCCTTCCTTCCTTCCTTCCTTCCTTCCTTCCTTCCTTCCTTCCTTCCTTCCTTCCTTCCTTCCTTCCGTCCTTCCTTCCTTCCTTCCTTCCTTCCTTCCTTCCTTCCTTCCTGTGGTGGGATTCAGCCGGTTCGCACCACTTCGGCAGAACTGGTAGCTAATTTTATGTTGCCCAGGCCCAGAACAGTCTTCCGGAAGCAGCATCCACGCAGAGAACCGGCTGTTCACATATTTGAATCCCACCACTGGTGGTATCTCAGGGACATTGGCTGATCCCTGGGGAACTTTCCATGACTTTAAAGGCCTGCTGAGGCCACTGAGTTAGCTGCACATATCTTCCTTCAAGGCTGTCATTGCATTCCTGATCAACACAACCATTCATTTAGTGGCGACAGTATCTGAAGTTACAACAGCACAGGAAAAAAAGTGACTTGTGACTAACTTTCACGCATATGACCCTGGCAGCATCCCCACGGCCGCGTGATCCAAATTCAGACACTTAGCAACTGACGCATATTTATGATGGTTGCAATAAAAGGTCATCCCCTTTTGTGATTTTCTGACAAGCAAGGTCCATGGGGAAGCTAGCTTTACAACCGGGTTGCTCATTAAGCTGCAGTCGTTAGCCGCTGTGGCAAACAAAAAGTCATAAAATGAAGCCAAACTCACTTAGCAATAGAATTATGAGCCCAGTTATGACTGTTAAGTCGAGGACTACCTATCATGGGTTCTGCAGGCTCTTGAGTTTTATGGGTGCATTTTGAAAGCTGCTTCAAGTCAATAATTCATCCGCGTGGGTGCCTTGCAGGAACTGTTCTGTGGCCCTGAGTTTGCCTGCCATGCCCGAAGGAGAAGCCACATTAGATTTGGTCAACCTCACAAACCACATCATCGAAGAGAAAGTCATGAAGTCCCTTAGAGGCCTATATCACATCAATCTGGCTGCAGAATATTACAAATTCAAGCGAGCCATCATGGAGAGCCCTTTTGAACGTAAGTTCTTGGAGCACCTTCATTTTGATCCCTCTGCTTCTTTTACAGCCCTTGAAAGATGATGATGATGAAGAAGAAGAAGCTAGGGTTTGTTTGTTTGTAACACGGTGGTTATGAGTTTCCCCCCACTGAAGAGGTCCTCCTCCCCACAAGGGACTCTACAAAACCAACAAGTAACTCAGGGGTGTCCAACCTTGGCAACTTGAAGACCTGGCTGGGGATTTCTGGGAGTTGAAGTCCACAGGTCTTAAAAGCGGCTAAGCTTGGACACTCCTGCTCTAAATTATAAACTCTTCCATTCCATAGTTGAAGGATGGAGGCATCTAGATGGCTTCTAGACAATGAAGACTAGTCTCAAAGAAAGTTAGGATAAAATCTGAATTCAAGGCCTTATTTCAGAATAATATTAGGGTTTAGTCGGGGAGTCCAAAAGTCTAATCTTTTTCTGACCCAACGGCCATGCTGGCTGGGGAACTCTGGGAGTTGAAGTCCACAGCTGAGGTCTTAAAGTGGCCAAGATTGGACTCCTTGAAGTAACTGTGTGATTCTATGTTTGGACTCCATCCAGATCATGCCTTGTTGATGGGTACCAAGCACCTGTGGACATTTGATGGGAAAATGTACAGCTTGACCTCCAACTGTAGTATACTGCTGGCCAAAGATTTTTCCCAGAATGCCTTTACAGTCATCCTAAACCAGAGCAGTGGTGTGGACAGGTCTCTATACCTCAACATGAACAAAAGAGTGGTCATCCTTTACCCTGAACAGAAGGTAAAAGTTGGATCTTGAGTTAAAGTTTTAGCTATTATCAGTCCAGACAGAAGCAAAATGGATGGATGGAGATGCTAAAGTAAATTAAACGTGCATCTAAGCTTTTAGGTATTTTTTGATATTTCCAACCCGGTGATATGTATGTCAACTATCCACCCTTTCCTATTTTGGATAACATAACAACAAATCCCAAGGCACTAAACCAAGAATTTGGGTTCATAGAACACAGAATAATGAATAGACTTGGAAGGGTTCTTGAAGGTCATCTAGTCCAACCCCCTTGCTTGAGCAGGAGACCTCATACCATTCTGGACAAATGGTTTTCCAATCTCTTCTTGAAAACCTCCAGTGATGGAACACCCATATGGAAGCAAGCCATTCCATTGATGATTTGTTCTCCCAATTTCTCCTTAGTTCTAGATTGGATCTCAGTTGGATCACCTAGGTCAACCTTAGATTGAGTTCAATTTAGGTTGGAAAAGTGACTCAGTCTACATACTCAGCTAAGATTTAAGAGTAACCTAAATCAACCATATATTTTCACTGGCTTGCATTTAGCCCTTTGCAAGCAATCTCCCAAAATTGGATTTTTTTTTAACTTTCTTTTCAAATAGATCTACAAGCAGTACAACACTTCCCTGCTGAAGGACTGCGGGAGTTTTGACATTCCTCTCCAAGGAAATGGCACCACCGTCCAGGTGGACACAAACCATGTTGAAATGATTGCAGCTGATGGAGCCTTGATTTTCTGTGACCTTGGCTACGACTTCTGCACCTTCACCTTGGATGGATGGCATCATGGTTTGTCCGAAGCATTCAGATATGACATAAGCATTCCCTTTAAGAATGAACGGATGTTCCTAAATGCCTTCTTAGAACATTAAAATAATATAGCAGCACGGGACGTTCTCTGATTCTGCCAAAGCTGCCCTTGTAATCTGCAGCGTTTCATTTTTCCCCGTTCTTTCTAGGTGTGTCTGCTGGTCTTTTGGGTACCAACGATAATGAAGCTGGCAATGAATGGATGCTTCCGGACCGCTCCCTGGCTAAGAGCTTGTCAGAATTCATACAAGCCTGGCAGGTATTTAGCAGAGGAAATACTGAACTTTAGTAACCTAAAAGGAAAGATGCTATAACCATCGTCTAAGATAGGGCTAGGGGGCACAATAGCTCAGTGGTCGAAGACACTGAGCTTATCAGCTGGAAAGCTGATAGCCTGGGTTCAAGGCCCGAGCACTGGATGATGGGGTGAGTCCCTGTTATTTGCTCCAGCTCCTGCCCACCTAGCATGCAAATGCGAGTAGATAAATAGGTGCCACTTCGGTGGGAAGCTAATGGTGTTCCATGTGCCTTTGACGTATCACATGCTGGTCACATGGCCATGGAAAATGTCTTTGGAAAATGCTGGCTTCCTCATCCAAGAAAGGGAGATGGGCACCATGCCCTAAAGTGGGATACGACTAGACCAGGAAACCTTTATCTTTCTTAGCCTAAAAGGAGAGATGCAATAACTGTTGACTAAGATAGGGCTGTATGAGTGATCCTTGTCACTCTCTGAGCTTGGTTGTTTTCTTGCAGACATTTCATTAGCCAAATTAGGTAACATCATCAGTGCTAGGAGGGAGTGGGATTTGCAGGGGGGAGGAGGAGGAGGAGGAGGAGGAGGAGAACAATAACAACAACAACAACTGTAGGTGCTTGGTGCTCTCTGAGCTTGGTTGTTTTCTCGCAGACGCTTCATTAGCCAAACTAGCTAACGTCATTAGTGGGCAATGAGGCGTCTGCAAGAAAACAGCCAAGCTCAGAGAGCACCAAGGATCCTTCATTCCAATCCTGAACTGCAGATATTTGTGTCCTTCTGACAAGCCAAGTCCATGGGGAAGCCAGATCCCCTTAAACGCTGTGTTGCTGGCTTCACAACTGCCACGATTCCCTTCACAACGGTGGCCAGAAAGGTTGCAAAATGAGGCAAAACTCACTGAACTGTCTCGCTTAGCGACGGAAATTTTGTACTGTCAAGAAACGGTCAAGAAACAGCTGAACGTAGCGACAAAGCCAACGAACAAAGTGCCGATGGTGGAACTCATAAAATATGTACGAATGGCTGGTGTCTTTAGAGATGTGGTATTTGCTGAATGCATAACCGTTCATGCTGGGTAAATAACCTTGTCCTTCAAGGCAGGCGTAGGCTATCCAACGCAAACTCTGAATTGCTTATACTGACAGCGGTGTGTTTGATTTTTCTCCTCCAAGGTGAACGGCCGTTGCAGTGAGGTCAAGAGAGATGACAAATCTTGCATCCATGCGCAGAGCGCTGAAATCTGTCAGACTTTTTTCCAGGAGTCCACCTCCCCTTTTAGGAACTGTTTTGGAGTGGTAAGAATATAATGCTAATGATGTATAAATGATTTAGGGATTGGTTCTTAAGAAAAAAAATAGAAAAAAGTGAATTGGAAACATTTGTCTGGGATGATGTAAGAATTGCCATTGGCAGGGGGGTTAGACTAGAAGATCTCCCAAGGTCCCTTCCAGCCCAATGTTTCTATGTTGTAATCACAGAATAAGAAGCACATTTATACCTAGGATTATAACTGCTGTAAAAAAAATTGGGAAGCTACTTTTTCAATGTTCTTTTGTTTTGCACCTTTGATTCTTTCTTTCTTTTTTCTCCTTTCTTTCTTTCTTTCTTTTTCTTTTTCTCCTCTTTTTTTCTTATTTTTTCTTTCTTTCTTCTCTTTCTTTCTCTTTCTCTTTTCTCCTTTCTTTTTCTTTCCTTTCTTTTTCTCTGTCTTTCTTTCTTTCTCCTTTCTTTTTCTTTCTTTCTCCCTCATTGGTTCACACAACAGCTGTAGGGATGCCTTTCCTGCTTAAAAAAAAATACTTGTACTTCTGTGTTTTACCAGCATGTTCAAACAGATGTTCTTCACTTGAGCCAGACTAAAAGAGAACGCTGCATTTACCCAATAAATATCTGAACATTTTTCTCGTCCTTTTCTCAAAAGGTGAATCCTGAACCGTTCTACCACTGGTGCAAAGCTGATCTGTGTGAAGTGCAGAGCATCAAAGCAGCCTGTAATTTAGCTGCAGCCTTCAGGCACCTGTGCAGTCGAAATTTTGTCCCAGTAGAGATGCCTCTTCGGTGTGGTAAGGTGTCCCACCTCCCCAACACACCACCAAATAAATTAGGGATTTTAAAACGGTTTATTTAGAGGTGTCTATGGAGGTGCTCAGTCGTCCAGGTCCTGGTTGTCCCAAAGATGCTTTTTCAGGAGGCAAACGGGGCTTTCTTGTTTTTCTTTGCAGACGTTTCGCTTCTCATCCAAGAAGCTTCTTCAGCTCTGACTGGATGGTGGGGGATGGAAGGATTTATATTCCTTTGCAGTCATCTGATCGTTAGTTCTCTTTCTGAGAGTCGTTGAGGCCACTTGGAGGTTTATCTGTGTCCTCAGGGTCACCTGAGTAGTGCAAATGGGTGTGGAGCCATTTGTGCTTCAGTTTGGGTTGCAGACAGCACAGACTCATCCCCAACAGCCTGCGCCTGTCTTCAACAGGGAAGGGACCCAGGGCAGAAACATCCTGCAGCCGAGAAGGCTCCCCACCCATTTGCATTACTCAGGTGACCCTGAGGACACAGACTCACCTCCAAGTAGCCTCAACGACTCTCTCAAAGAATGCAAATGACCAGCTGTAAGCCAGGAATAGAAATCCTTCCACTCCCCACCATCCAGTCAGTGCTGAAGAAGCTTCTTGGATGAGAAGTGAAACATCTTCAAAGAGAAAAAACGAAAAGTCCAGTTGCCTCCTGAAAAAAAGCATCCTTTGGGACACGTTTATTTAGAGCTGTCATACCTGGCGGCTCAAATATCTGCCACATTACAATCATTACAAGTTTACAACCGTTCGTTTAGCAACTGTATGAAGTTAAGTTGACCCTGAAAATAGTGACTTACAACTGCCTCCTCGTGCTTCCAACTGTTGCAGCGTCCCCGTGGCCACATGATCCAAATATGGGTGCTTGGCAACCAGCATGCATTTACAAGAGGTGCAGGGTCCTGGGATCGCGTGATCACCATTTACAACTTTCCCAGCCAGCTTTCAATAAGCCAATGGGGGAAACCGGATTTGCTGAACAACCCCAGGCAAAAACGGTCGTAAAATTGGGCGTCATTCACTTAAACAACTGTCTTGTTAGCAATGGAAATTCCAGCCACATAAACTGAGGACTCTCTGCACTGCAAGCGGCCTAGAGTCATGTAAAATGGATGACTAAGTAAATAAATGACAATTTTATTTCATTTTAGAGACGGCAAAGTGAGACCGAGAAGCAGCTGGTTGCTTGCAATCGACTAAAGGGAGGGCCCTCCTACTTAAATTTCCCATCAGTCCAAGCTCAACTCTAACAAGATCATCAGCTTCATCTTACAAACTTAGTCCTGTGTTGGCACAATGAAAAGACTGGAGATGCTGTTAAAAATAAGCTTTGACTGTTGCAATAGCTACCAACTGCTCCACCATCTGGAAGAAGTCCTCAAACTGCTTCTGCTTGTGTTTGCCATATTAAAGAAGATACAACTTGAAAAGTATCTGGCAAAGGGTTCTCCTGAAAGAGATGAAGAATGTTAAATTAGATCTCCTTGTAGTCATCAGTTTAGAATAATTTTGGAGAAGACTTGTTCTAGATTTTTTTTTTCCTGCTGCTCCTAATGACCAAATAAGGTTTCGTTTATATTCAACCATGTCTGAGATAAATCATGTTGAATTGGAAGGGCCTTGGTGGCTGAAATCACCTTTCCGCTTCGTGTTCTGTACAGCAGCTTATTCTTCGGAATCTTCCCATTTTCAGATGATACAAAAATCCACTCTTCTGGAAACTTTTAAACCCCCTGCATAGAACATACTTAAACACGCCCTGAAAACAATCTCTGAGGAATCTCTGACTTGCTATAGGACTTTAGAACCAAAAACAAAATAGTTAAATAAAAAGCAGAATAGTTAAATAAAAAGCAAAATTAAAATGTGAAATGGTTGTAGTTGTTTTATTGCTGATATGTGTGTGCCCATTTAATAGAATATAAATAATATAGAATAAAAGGATAGAATGTTAATATTATAAAAAGGAAACCATGTTTCATATATATATATAAAACCCGAATAACCAAAGACCTACATATATATATATATACACACACACACACACACACATATATACACACACATATACATATATATATATTACACATATAAACACATATATACAAATATACATATACATATATATATCTTCCAATTTTACGCGGGAGAAAACCGAATAACCAAAGACCTATATATATACACATATATACATATACACATATATACACACACACACACACATATATATATATATATATGCATGTGTGTAAATAATATACATATACATATACACATACACACACATATATACACACCCACACATATATACATATATGTGTGTGTGTGTGTGTGTGTGTGTGTGTGCATATAAGTATGTTAAATTTGGATTGCTAACAGTTAAAGGGAAGCTGGTATAGCTATTTCAAGCTCCTTATACATATATATACATACAAACACACACACAAAGTTAGAGGAAACATATGGCTTCCTTTTAATATTATATATAAATATATTATAAAAATACTTATATATTAAATAGTGTAAATAATATATATATATATTCTCCCACTGGAGAGGAGCCTGATGCTGGGGAAGATGGAGGGCAAGAGAAGAAGGGGACAACAGAGAATGAGGTGGCTGGATGGAGTCACTGAAGCAGCAGGCGTGAGCTTCAATGGACTCCAGAAGATGGTAGAGGACAGGAAGGCCCGGAGGAACGTTGTCCATGGAGTCGGACACGACTTCGCAATTAACCATTTATATGATATATATATATCGTTGCTTAGAAAACTACAAGCAGCCATTCAGGACTCCAACCCCCACCATCACCCCGCACCCCCCCACACACACACTGGCTGGGAATACTGGGACCTGGAGTCCCACACCATCTGGGCCCGGAGAGGCCGCCTCGCCTCTTTCCAGCCAACGCCATGGAAAAGGCGACCCCACCTCCCAGGACCAACGAGAGGCGCAGCTAGATGGGATGCGGGAAAAAAAAACAACAACAAACATTTGCGACGCTTTTACGACAGCGCTCTCTCGCCCTCCTTCTCTCGGCGGCCGGAAGCGCCGCTTGTCGCCGCGGAAGCGGAAGCGCGCGGGGGAGGGAGGGGGAGGGCGCAGCGGGAGCAAAACAAAGAAGAGGCGGCGGCGGCGGCGGTGGGTGCTGGGATGCGACGGAGGGCGGTGAGTGGCTCCTTGGCGCGCATTCACACGACACGACACGACACGCCTCCCTGCCCGGCCGGGCCTAGCCCAGCCGCCGGAGTTGCAGCCGGCCTGCTTCAGGGTCGGGGGTGAGCCTCGCCGCGGGAGGAGACTGGGGAGGGGGTGAGCCCAAGGTGGGCTGGGCTGGAGCGCCGGCCAGGGGAAACGAGCCCGCCCAGGAAGGAAGGAAGGCGGTGGTTCCTCCACGGGAGTGGTGGACTTTGCTCTGGGGACGCCGCCCTTGCCTGCCTGCCTGCCGCCCTTGGAGCTCCGGCTGCAGCGAGGGAAGCCCGGGCTGGGTCAATATTGGCTCTCCAGGCGGGCGCCAACTCTTCTCTGGGCGTCTCTGCCAGGGGCTCAGAAGCCTTTCTGGGGTGCCCCCCTAAAGGTAACCTGGGAGGGGGAAAGAAGTATTGCAGGGGGGCTCTAGATCAGGGCTTTTCAACCTCTGCACAGATTGCACCACTTTTAGGACGTGACAATATGTGAGTACCAGCAGTGCTTAGCCAGGTGTCAAAAAGTTGATGACTTTTTTTTAAAAAAAAGCGGGGGGGGGATTTTGGGCTTTACTGGTTAGATCCATTTGTGGTTATAGAAATGGCTACTTTGTAATATTATGGGAAAGTAAAAAAGTTGAGGTTCAAGGTTAATGCTTCCTTCCTACAGCAGGGGTCTTTGATGGCTTGTGGACTTCAACTCCCAGAATTCCTCAGCCAGCGGGCCTGGCTGAGGAATTCTGGGAGTTGAAGTCCATTCCTCTTAAAGTCTATATCAGGGGTCTTCAAATTTGGCCCTTTGATGACTTGTGGACTTCAACTCCCAGAATTCCTCAGCCAGCACAAGCTGGGAGTTGAAGTCCACAAGCTGGGGTCTTCAAACGTGGCCCTTTTTATGACTTGTGGATTTCAACAAGTCATCAAAAGGCCAAGTTTGAAGACCCCTGTTCTACTGCAACAGAGGAAGTCTGTTCTTTTTCCCTTCTCCCCCTCACTTTCCCCCCCTTTTTCCTCCCTATTTGCTTTTGTATTGTTGTATTTTATTCTATAATCTAATAAAATATTTTTCTACAAACTGTAGAAAAAAAGGGGGGGGAAAGTACCAGTTTTAATTTCTTCAGTGGCGGTTCCTTTGCTGAATCCCTTTCCCTTCTGCACACCTGCATGATTTCTGAAAATCAATATTTGTTATTGTTTTTTTTTTAAAGAATTCTGCCTTTTGCTTAGCCATTCAAAAAGGTGATATAAATGTATCGGGCATGTTGAATAACTAGGTATTTCGATGGCATGTAATCTGACCTTGTGCAATCTACACATTTTTCGCAGTTAGAATGAAAGAAAGGAAAGAGAGGAGAATGTTGACTTCTGTTTGGACATATAATGGAAGGAAAAATAGCTCAGAACGTCTGTCCTAGATCACTCGGATGGCTTCAGCTGCAAGATAATGATGAGAAGCCCTGGCTCTGGAAATTTTCTAACTGCTTTTCAATTACTGAACAGAATTTTCCCCTCACTGCAAAAACGGTAGAGTATGGACTTAAATGTTTATTAAGTGAAATGCTAAATTGATATGCAAGTAGTCCTCAACTTGCAACTGGTTGCTCAGTGGCCAGAGTTAAAATAGACTCCCCTAAAAAAAAAACTACTTATGATCTGGCTTTGAAGTTAAAGCCATTGAAGCATCCCCTACGTGAACAAAATTTGGGCAAATTCACCCTGGCTTCCTCCATCTATCTCTCACCCATCCTCACCCATCAGGGTCCCCTCAGACCTTGGCCTTGCTTCCCATTCCCTCCTCAACACACACACACACACACCAGCTTCCTCAGCAGTCATACACTTACCTTCTGTAGATCTCTGGAGTTCACGTTGTGGAAGGAGAACGGACCACTGCATCCCTAGGTTGTCTAGTTCCATCTTGGAAAGGGGCACCATTTTGGGAGTGACTGCAATGAATCGTGGCCACTTCAAAAATGGTGCCTGCTTCTGGGACAGCGCCCTGTGTCCTGCAGGGTTTGTTGTCTATATACGTTGTTTGCACCGCACTTCTCTTGCCTGCTGTTCTGCTTCAGCAAAAGCATTAAAGCCAAAGATGCTTCAAAATGAATAGGAATTGTTTTACATTATAATTTTTTGTGAAACAGAGCAAAGTTCCCAAATGGCTCTTTCAACCCTTAGGGTCCCGGAGCCCTTCAGACATGGAATACAGGTAGTCCTTGATTTATGACTAATTCAGCCTGGAATTACAGTTATAAGTCGTGCTGGTTGTTAAGCAGGTCATCATGTGACCCGCCTGATTGCATGATTTTTTTTTTGTGGTCGTGGTTAAAGGAATCACCGTGGTTTTTAAAGCGAATCCACGTTTGTTAAGCAAACCCATTGTCTATGATGGCTGTATTTTGCCAGAAACTGGCAAGCAAAAAAGAAAAACCCATAGAGCCCATGGTCATGTGACTGAGGTGCTGCAAACAGCCATGGCCAAGTTTGTAATATTACAAATAAAAAGGTCCTAAGTACCTTTTTGGGTGGGTGGCGTAGCTTCAAACGGTCGCTAAACAGCTGGTCATAAGTCAAGGACTGCCTGCGCTTCTAGTGAGCTTGATGTTTTCCAGTCTGAAATCCTTTTTGCAAATCTTCAGCAACCTAACCTGGCCCCTGTTTGTCATATCCCCATCTCTCTCTCTCTCTCTCTCTCTCTCTCTCTCTCTCTCTCTCTCTCTCTCTCTCTCCCCTTCCCTCCCTCTTTCTCTCCCCTCAGAACAAGCCCATGGAGAGCAGAAGAGGTGCTGCAGAGTTGAAGGAGGATCCCTCGGCTCGCCACGCTCCTCTGCAGCCATTCGCGGCCCTTCCCCTCCCCGACGTCCACTCTCTCCAGCCAAAGCAAATCCAGCTTTCCCTCAACCCTAAAGTAAGCTGCTGTTCTCATGGCTCTGACTCCTCCCCTCGGGTTCCTCAGTTGCACTTTGGTGGTGGCAGCAACGGCGGCGGCAACATCGGTGGTGGCGGTGGTGGTAGCAACAGCAGCGGCGGCAGCGGCAGCTTGATTCACCCTGGCACGGTCTTAAGCACCCCCGGCACTGGGACAATCACTTGGCAGATAGGCTCAGAGTTGGCTTGCCAGTCCTCCTCTTCGCTCAAGAACAACCCCGCAAGAAGCAACATGGCTGGCCTGTGCCGGGAAAACCCGGTCCCTCAGTGCTCCCACTTTTCCTGCTGCGGGAAAGTCCACTTCCAAGCCTGTCCCGGGAACCTGCACAAAATGCGTCCGTTTCCCCCCCATCCGGGCTGCACGGCTCCTGGCTACTTTTCCTGCTCTGAATTGAGTGGGGCGGCGGGACTGTCCGAGGAACACCTGGCCCAGCCGGAACGAATGTCTTGCGTTTGCACCAACTCGTTGCACCTAAAGGTTTCACCTCCCCTTTGCTTAAAGGGCTCCCACCACTGCACGGAGTGTTTAAGCAAGGTTCGTACTTCCTCTTTTTAATCCATTAATGCGATTTGGGAAGGTAAATCGGCTCCTAGAGGCCAGGCGGGCACTTTGGTCCAAGGGTCAGCCTGGTCTTAGCATCAGTCCAGGTACGTCCAGGTTTTTCAAAATGGCTGCCACGGGTTGGCTGTTACAGGTAACCCTCAACTTTTGAGCCCAAAATTTCCATTGCTAAGCAAGACAGTTGCCAAATGAGTTATTAATAATAATAACTAATAATTAATAACTAATTAATAATAATAATTAGTTAATAATAATAATAAAGTTGGAAGGGACCTTGGAAGTCATCAAGTCCAACCCCCTGCTCAGGCAGGAAACCCTACATCATTTCAGACAAATGGCTGTCCAGTCTCTTCTTAAAAACTTGCAGTGTTGGAGCATTCACCGCTTCCGGAGGCAGGTTGTTCCAGTGGTTAATTGTTCTCACTGTCAGGAAGTTTCTCCTTAGTTCCAGGTTGCTTCTCTCCTTGGCTAGTTTCCATCCGTTGCTTCTTGTCCTGCCTTCAGGCGCTTTGGAGAATAGCTTGACTTCCTCTTCTTTTTGTTTGTTTTTGAACTGGATCAACGCAGTTGTTAAGTTAGTAACACACGTTTGTTAAGTGAATCTGGTCGCGAAAGGGGATCACATGACCCCAGGACGCTGCAGCCGTCCTAAATACGTGCGTCTGAATTTTGACCACCTGGACCACGGGTATGCGGGCGAAGGTCATAAGTATGAAAAACTCTGGTGAGGCACTTTTTGGGGGGGGGGGGCTTTGTAACTTTGGTGACTAAACGAATGTAAGCCGAGGGCCCCCTGTAATGTTGAAGAAATAAAGGATGTTTAAGAATACCTCTGTGGGAGCTAGAACTGCTGGTAGAAGTTGGTTTCTGTGCAGTGTCGTCGTGCTAAGGCCATGGTGCATGTTTTTCCTCCACAGTCGTCGCAAGAAAACGTGGTAGAAGCAGCTAAAATGTGGCCAGATATTCCTCCTCCCAGTGCCCAGGTGGCACCCCTTTCTCTCCCAATGTGTAATGGCTGTGGAACCAAAGGAACAAGGAAAGAGAAGAGCCTTCTCTTAGCCAGTAGCTTTGGCCGGCTGACCCCCAAACACGGTAATTCATATCCTTTGACTTCATCCTTTTAAAGTTAACCGTCCAGTTCATCCAGTGTGTCCCAAGCTGGGCAACTTTTTCAGATTCCCAGAATTCCTCAGTCAGCTGGGGGATTTCTGGGACTTGAAGTCCCGCCCACCTTAAAGTTGCAAAGGCTGGGAAATGGAGCTCATCGGAGAAGCGCGGTTATTTTAAGGTGCTGGATCTTTTCTCCTTCTGAATGCAGGCTCTCCAGAAATTGCCATCGCGAACCAGTTGCTGGAAAACCTGCCTCCCATTGGGGTCTTCTGGGATATCGAAAACTGTTCAGTCCCGTCTGGTCGTTCCGCCGTGGCGGTGGTCCAGCGCATCCGGGAAAAGTTTTTTAAAGGCCACCGAGAGGCCGAATTCATTTGCGTGTGTGACATTAGTAAGGAAAACAAGGAAGTGATTGAGGAGCTGAACAATTGCCAGGTGCGCGCTCAAAAGATTTGGGGGGGGGATCCATCCACTCTGGACCTGCTGTGTTTAATCTTTCCTCGAAATGTAATTTTCCTTTCTCCTCCCCTCCCCCTTTAGGTGACTGTTGCACACATCAATGCCACAGCCAAAAATGCTGCTGATGACAAACTCCGACAGAGCCTTAGGAGGTTTGCAGATACCCATGCTGCACCAGCCACCGTGGTGCTTGTCTCAAGTACGTATCAACGGTGCTTCATTTGGGAGTCATTTGGATCCTTGCTCAGATTCGAAATCCATCGACTTAGTTGCATTCAAAGGCCTAAATAATGGGAGCTTCACAATTAAGAGAGCCGGCTTGGTTTATTGATTAAAGCTCCAGGCTAGAAGCCAGGAGACTGGGAATTCTAGTCCTGCCTTAAATATGAAAGCTGGCTGGGTGACTTTGGGCCGATCACCAGGAGGCTGGGAGTTCTAGCCCTGCCTTAGAATTGAAAGCCAGCTGGGTGACTTTGGACCAATTGCTCGGAGGCTGGGAGTTCTAGTCCTGCCTTAAGCAGGAAAGCTGGCTGGGTGACTTTGGGCCAATCACCAGGATGCTGGGAGTTCTAGCCCTGCCTTAGAATTGAAAGCCAGCTGGGTGACTGAACCAATTGCTAGAAGGCTGGGAGTTCTAGTCCTATGTTAAGCAGGAAAGCTGGCTGGGTGACTGGGCCAATCACCAGGAGCCTGGGAGTTCTAGTCCTGCCTTAGATACGAAAGCCAGCTGAGTGTCTTTAGGTTAGTCCCTCGTTCTCAGCCCAGTCCACCTCAACAGCTCAACCCATCTCACAGCTCTTGTGGGGAAAATAAGAGGAGGCAGGAGCAATATATATGTTCACTGCCTTCAGTTACTTATAAAATAATAAAGGCAGGATAAAAAAAAAAACCCCTAACCAATGCTCATTGCAGTGTTATTTGCATTGCGGCATAAACTCCACTCAGGCTTGAGAACCAATTAACTGGGTAGTGTTTTGTTTTGTTTTTCTCCTATCTCTTTGAAATGATCTCGCTTTAAATAGTTGCTTTTCTGCGATGACTTTTGGCTGGTTTTGTTGAGGTCAGCAGCACAAGAGCAGTTTCAAGTTTAAAGCCAGTATTTTGCCCTCTGAAGTTGCCCTGCAGATGCTCATGAAAAATGCACTCTTGTGTCAAGTATCAGAACCTCCCAAAGCCACTGACTTGGGGTTTGGGTCTTTTTTTTTTTTTCCCCAGCTGATGTCAACTTTGCCCTGGAACTCAGCGACTTGAGGCACCGCCACGGTTTCCACATCATCCTGGTTCATAAAAACCAGGCTTCCGAAGCACTTTTGCACCACGCCCACAAGCTAATCCGATTTGAAGAATTTATTTCAGATTTGCCCCCAAGATTACCCTTGAAGAAAACAGTAAGTGGCTGATCACTGGTGAGGCTTTGAAGTGTCGTCAGGGAGGTGGACGGGCATTTAAATTTTTAAATCCATGCCATGGATTCCTCCTGCTTTACCTGTCGGCTGCAGTTATTAATGGGGAAATAAAGTTGGAAATACAAGTAGTAAAGGCAGTCCTCAGCTTATGACCATGGTTGAGCCCAGAAATTTTGGTTGCTAAGCAAAACAGGTATTAAGCAAGTTTTGCCTTTCTTGACATCATTGTTAAGTCCTTCAGTTGTTCAGTTAGTAACACGGTTGTTAACCGAAACTGGCTTCCCTATTGACTTTGCCTGTCAGAAGGTCTCAAAAGGGGATCACCAGATCCCGGGACCATCCTAAAGATGTGCTAGTTGCCAATTGTCCCAATTTGGACCACGAGAGTGCTGCAATGGTCACGTAGGGAAACAAAATGTCATAAACTCTTTATTCAGGGGCTGTTGTAACTTCAAAAATTCACTAAACAAATTGGTTGTAAGTTGAGGACTGTTGGAATTTACTGTTAGAGAGTGACTCACCTCTTTCACAATTCAGATAACAGTTTAAAACACCTGTTGTCCCTTAGTACGAAGCAGGTTCTGACTGTCGGCAATCCTGTAAAACATTTCATGCCTGCAAGGCACTTTCTCAACCTGGGCAACTACGATGTGTGAGCTTCAACTCCCAGAACTCCCAGAATTCTCCCATCAGCATCCTGGCTGGGGAATTATGGAAGCCGAAGTTGCCCTGTCTGTAGACATCAGGGTTCAATTTCTACAGCTTTTGATTAATTCAAGCAATTCTTACGGATTTGGCTTCAAAATCTAAGGGACTGGTTTGGACAAAACTCAGCAGCACTTTTTCACGCGGCTGCTGATAAGAACAGGATCACCAACATGATCACCAGTGTCCGATAACAGATAGGGCACAAGAAGAAGAGTCCTTACGGAACAGGCCTATCCGGGTTTGGCCCGAGGTGTCTTTTGTCTCTGCGGGTTTATTGATCTGAGGATTCTTTCTATTTTAAATTGTCCAAGTGTTCAGCTATGTTGTTTTGCCCTGGCCTCTTGAGAAGCATATCTGAGCCCTTTTTTTTTTTAATTCTCTGAAACAGGCGTGTCATACTCTGTTATATGTTTACAACTTGCCCACCAACCGAGATAGCAAAAGTGTCTGCCTGAGACTTCGGCGCCTATCGGACAATTGTGGGGGGAAAGTCTTGACCATCTCCGGCAGCAGCGCCATCCTCCGTTTCCTCAGTCAAGATAGCGCCGAGCGAGCCCAGAAGCGGATGGAGAACGAAGATGTCTTCGGCAACAGGATAACCGTGTCTTTCACCCCCAAAAACCGAGAGCTGGCAGAAGCCAAGAACGCGGGCTCTTCTGTGGCAGACAAAGCCAAGTCGCCCAAGAAAGTCAACCGGAACGCCAAGCTGTGCCTCATGAGCAAAACGGCGAACGACCCATCTGCCACCACCAAGGCTGCGGCCTCAAAAGGCCCTCAAGGGCATGGATCCGCTCCGAAAAACACCACTGTTAAAAGCTTGCAGGTGGGGTGGCTTTCCAGTGTATGCCTCTTTTGAAAAATTAAAAGCATTCCTTCCTTTCTGATCTAATCGGTCTTCGCAAAGTTTTGGGTGTTTTTTTTTTAAGGTGTACTTTGGACATAAATGTGCCAAACATTTGTTTACAGCAAGGCTCTTCAAACTTGGCCCTTTGATGACTTGTGGACTTCAGCTCCCAGAATTCTTCAACCAGCATGCTTGGCTGAGGAATTCTGGGAGTTGAACTCCATTCCTCTTAAAGTCTATACCAGGGGTCTTCAGACTTGGCCCTTTTGTGACTTGTGGACTTCAACTCCCAGAATTCCTCAGCCAAGCATGCTGGTTGAGGAATTCTGGGAATTGAAGTCCACAAGTCACAAAAGGGCCAAGTTTGAAGACCCCTGGCACAGAGACATCTTGTGCTTTTTTAAATCCCCTTGCTGATGACAGGTAGTTCTTTTTATGACCACAACTGAGCCCCAAATTTCCATGACTAAGCGAGACGGTTGTGAAGTGAATTTTGCCACTTTTTTCTGCGACCTTTCTTGCCGCAGCCGTTTTAAGTGACTACTGCAGTTGTTAAGTTCAGTGAATCTGGCTTCCCCCATTGATTTGGCTTGTCAGAAGGTCACAAAAGGTGATTACGTAACCCCGGGACACTGCAACTGTCATAAGTACATGCCAGTTGCCAAGTGTCTGAATTTTGATCACGTGACCACGGAGATGCTGCAACGGTTGTGTGACAAACGGTCATGAGCCGCTTTCCTCAGAGCTGTTGTAACTTTGAATGGTCACTAAATCAACTCTTGTAAATTGAGGATCACCTGTAGCCCCCCCCCCCTTTTTTTTTTTTTTTTGTTTCCCAAGGAACTGTGTCGCCTTGAATCGAAACCGGGAAGAAGCTCTGAACACCGCCAAGATCAGCTAAAAGAGGGAGTTCCTTCATCAAACAGCAGTTCTACCCCGGCCAGCTCTGTACTTCAGGCGACCAAGAAAGCAGGAGCAGGAGAACCTGGTCACCATAAGAACAATCAAAAGTATGTTGAGAACAAGGCAGACCTAAAGGTGTTTTTGTCACGATGCAACTGGACTTTCTTGTTTCTCTTTGAAGACGTTTCGCTTCTCATCCAAGAAGCTTCTTCAGCTCTGACCGGATGGTGAGGGAATGGAAGGATTTATACTCCTTGCAGACAGCTGGTCATTTGCATCCTTTTAGAGGGCCGTTGAGGCCACTTGGAGGTTTATCTGTGTCCTCAGAATCACCTGAGTAGTGCAAATGAGTGTGGAACCTTCTTGAAATTGCTGAAAGGACTGTGTTGTAGACGGGAGATAGATGATGTTGTATCCCTCCCCCTCTGTTGAGAGGGGGCTGTCCAATTTTGACCTAGATGGCCTCTTTGACCCCTCTTTCAAACCAGCGGTCCTCTCTGTCCAAAATGTTCCAAGAGAAAAACGAAAGTCCAGTTGCTTCTTGAAAAAGCACCTTTGGGACAACCATGACCTGGATGACTGAGAATCTCCAAGGCAGATACTCGTCAAAGGCTCTGTCAGTGTGAGGCTTTAATTAAGCCTTTCTCCTTCGCCCAGGAAAGAGATGATGGCAGCCAGAAGTATCAACAGCTCCCCAGTGGACAAGAAGGAGAAGGAGAACGCCTTCCAGGTCAGCTTTCCTTCAGCTTTCAGCATGCTGACGGCCTCCAGACAGCACAGTCCCATTCTTATCTCTCAGAGTTGTTGGTCATCGAGGTAGGTGTCATTGCGTCACGCGGCTGTGCACTGTTTTTTTTAGAGAGGAACGCCACATTTGACTTCCATTTAGTGCAGGGGTCTTCAAACCTGGCCCTTTGATGACTTGTGGATTTCAACTCCCAGAATTGTGGGAGTTGAACAACACTAAACCTAGAGTGAGAATCAAGGTTATTGTAACCAAAGCTGATAAGGAATTGGCGGCTGGAGAACTGGAGAGGAAGCCCGTGTTTCAAGCTAATTGGGGAACGTGATTTATGTCTGTTAATTGGAGGAGGGAATTGTGCTTTGATACTACGGAGGGGAATTCAGTTTTTGGCTTCGGTTATGCAGAGCCGATGTTATGCTGCTCAAAATAAAGATTCTTTAAGGTTCACAATACCTCGAAGTTCTTTTGAAGAGTTTCGTCTGTCGGAACCATGACAGTGGCAAGGAAAGTCGTAAAATGGGGCAAAACTGAGTTAACAAAATACTCACTCAGAAACATAAGTCTTGGGCTCAATTGCGGTTGTACGTCGAGGACTACCTGTATACTACAGAATGAATGATTCCAGATTCTCTTTCCTCCCCTCGGCCGCAGGAGCGTGTCTCCAAGCGTTTCCAACCGGTCTTCTCCGCTCGCTTTGAACGTCACCAATTCTTCCAGCCATGCAGACTGCCCAGATCCCTTTGCAAATGGAGCAGACATTCAGATTAGCAATCTGGATTACCGGCTCTCCCGAAAAGAGCTTCAACAATCTTTGCAGGATACCTTCAGTAAGCACGGCAAGGTAAACAATTCCACCCATCTTACAAGGCCGCTGTTTATACTTAACTTTCGGTGTGGGTGTTGTTTCTTGTTGAAACGTCTTTTAAAATGGTTTTAATTGCTTTAGAATTTTAGAATTTATAAGCCCAACCCTGGCTGTTTTAGTAGCTCCATAAGTACGTGAGTTACAAAATTGCTTTAATTCTACCTTGAAGATCGTACTCGCCTCCAATTTTCGTCTTTTTTTTTTTTTAATCAGGTAAAGAACGTAGAACTTAGTCCTCACACTGACTACCAGTTGAAGGCTGTTGTTCAGATGGAGAATCTCCAAGAAGCCATCACTGCTGTCAACAGCTTGCACAGATACAAAATTGGTAACAAGAGGATCCAGGTCTCATTAGCCACAGGAGCTGCCAGCAAATGTCTGGCACTGATTAGGTAAAACTGCTGTGCGGGGTCTGAGGTTTTGCTTGATACAAAATACAGGTAACCGGAAGTTGCCTTCAAGCTTTACGTTTTTATTCAGCTGAACAAATAACGGGCTTCTCTAAAAGAGAGAAAAAGCCCCAAATATCAGAAAAGCCTTATTTTTATACCCTCTTTGATTACATAAGCCATTCACCCAGCCAAGCTGGCACACATAAGGTAAAGACTTCGCCCTTTAAGGCTGGCACACTGTAGATAAGAAGGGAGAGAGCAGAAGTAGCTAAAAATGTTCCCTTTTGGGTGTTTCCACCATATGTTCCCAGGTGGGTTAGGATATTGGGTGTTTCCTTTGCTGTCCTTTTATGACCTTGCATTCATGGTTGTGCAAGTGGCCAGAGATAGCGGGGCTATCTGCATATATTCACAGTTGATACTGTCCTCTTATGTCCGGGTCAACAAAACGACAGCCACTATAATACTGTAGCACTTAATGTCTTTGAACTAAAAATCTTCTGTGGACTAGAGTAGGGGTCCCCAGCTCCCGTTCTGTGGATCAGCACTGGGCCGCGGCATGCCAGCAACCAGGCTGCACAAACAAGCAAAGCCCCATCAGTGGGATGCAGGCGATACGCGAAACCACGGCCCCTCCAGTCCATGGGAAAACCTCTCCACGGAACTGATCCCTGGTGCCCCAAAGGTTGGGGGTTTCTGGACTAGAGGGATAATTTGAGAAAACTGGGGCATGTTTTTGCCTAGGGGATTGCAAAAAGGGGAAGCAGTCTCATTCTTTTGGGATGGAGGAGATAGGAAATAAGCAACACAGGTAGTCCTCAATTTACAACCATTTGTTTAGTGGCCGTTCAAAGTTGCAGCGGCGCGGTTTTACTTTGTATGTTGGCCTTTTTTTCTTTCTTTCGTTTATCACGTCCGATTCTTGGAGACTGCCTGGATCGCTCTCTGCTGTTTTCTTAGCATGATTTTTCAGAAGTGGTTTGCCATTGTCTCCTTCCTAGGGCTGAGAAAGAGAGGCTGGCCCCAAGCCTTAAGGCAGGACTAGAACTCAACCGTTTCTGGGTTTTTAGTCTGGTGCCTTAACCGCTACACCAAATTAGCTCTGCCGGTCGACCTTATTTAGAGCGTATTGGAAATAAGATTTAGTCGATCTTTGGCCCTTTTTAAATATCTGTTTCACTCACAGACTTGGCCTATTGAGGCTCATAAAGAATCTTTGCTGCTTGTAAACCTCGTTGCTTTCAAGAACAGTCTCACAATTCTGCAAAGAAAGGATTCAGCGATGCCCAGTGCTGCTGTTTCTTGACGTGCTCTCTCTTTTTACAGTTCAGAAGCAGTGTCCATTCTTCAGGACGCCCCAGCCTGCTGCCTCCCCCTTTCCAAATTCACCGAGATTTACGAGAAAAAGTAAGTGGGAAATTTTGCACGCAAGGCTGCCGATTCCGACCAACTCCAGACTTGCTGTTTGCGGTCACCTGGATCCGGGATTTAATCCCTGCTATTCCAGGATGTCTGTAAGAGCTGCAGATTGCTTCTTTTAGCTTTTTTCATTTCACTAAGCCATTTCTGCTTTTGGTTTCTAGGTTCGGACACAAACTGAATGTGTCGGACTTGCACAAATTAACAGACATAGTAGCGATCCGTGATCAAGGCAACGGTCGGCTGCTTTGCCTCTTACCCAGCAGCCAAGCGAGGCAGAGCCCATTAGGATCTTCGCAGTCGCACGACGGCTCCTCTGCTAACTGCAGCCCCGTCATCTTCGAAGAACTGGAATATCATGAGCCTGTCTGCAAACGGCATTGTGTGAACAAAGACTTCAGGTAAATTTGCTTCCCCTTCTTGGCAGTCAAGCTCTGCCATCAAAACTGAATAGCCCAGAAAGTTACACTTGATTAAATTGGTTTCTGAATCAGGGTCTTTAAAGCAGAACTGGTGGGTTTTATTCTCTTTGAAATCCTTTGAAATAACTGGGTTTTTGGCTGGTTTTCAAAGCAGAGTAAGTCCTTACGAGCATAGGAATTGTTCGCCATTGAGTCTGTTGGATTTAGCAAAAGCGATAGCACCTAGACTTATATATTGCTTCATAATGCTTTATAGCACTCTCTAAGGGGTTTACAGAGTCACCCTATTGCCTCCCAACAATCTAGTCCTCATTTTACTGACCTCGGAAGGATGGAAGGCTGAGTCAACTGTGAACCGGTCAGGATCGAACTGCTGGCAGTGGGCAGTGTCAGCCTGCAATACTGCATTTTAACCACTGCACCACCACAGCTTTTTAAAACCATTTAGTGCTTCTTCCAATAGAAAGGCTGGGGCTTTATATGTGCAAAGCAAATGCTTTGCCACTGATCTTAGATCCATTTCCCTCCTTTCGTAGTTGTGGGTATTGTCAAACCAACATGGATTAAATCCACTCTTCGGCATGCAGGAAATCCTTGACTTACGACCAACTGAGCCTGGAATTATGGCTGTAAATTCATGCTGCTTGTTAAGCAAGTCACCATCAGATTGCTTAATTTTACAATTTGATTTGTTGACTTTTTTTGCAGTTTTTTAAGGGAATCACCAACCATCATTAAGCTAATGCCACAATCATTAAGCGATTCCATTGTCCACAACGGGCCTTTTTTTTTTTTTTTTTGCCATAAACTGGAAGTAAAAGCCAGTTTCCAATAGAAACATCATAAATTGCATTCACACGACAGTGGAACTCTGCAAGCAGCCATAAATAGGGGCCAGTTGCTCACCCCGCAAAATGGGATCACGTGGCTGCGGGGGGGAGGGGGCAGGGGACGACCGTCGGAACTTCAAATCTGGGTCGTCAGTCACCCTGGAGCTATGAAAAATCATTAATCGAGGAACTACCTGTACTAGGAGAAAGAATTTTTGATTGAACCTCTTAACACTTTATGGGAGAAAAATAAGTCTGGTTTGGATTCTTTCCAGTTATTGTAGAAGTTGGGAAAAATAAAGCTTCAAGCATTGAACATGTAAGCTGTGGGCTATACTGGGTAAAGTTATACAGGCAGATTTTCTTTGCTCGGCTTCCAATAAAACTTAACTTTGTCGTTGGTTTTTAGCGAGCACGACTTTGATCCTGACTCCTACAAAATTCCCTTTGTGGTTCATTCTCTGAAGGCATTTGCTCCTCAAGTTCATAGCTTGTTACAGACCCACGAGGGGACAGTACCACTACTCAGGTAAACCATTACTCTGACACCCAAAGGGTTGAGATGCATCCAGCTCTTCAAATTAATAATAGAATATTCAGAACCGAGGTGACTCTGCAGTGCCCACGATCGGGATCCTTACTGGTTTTTACTAACCCATTATTGCTATAATTAGGATGAAATCAAAGTCACTCCATTGCCTGTTACGATTAGAAAATACGAAAGGGGGCTGTTTGTGTTTGATCTCCAGTAGTTACACAAAGTTTGTTGACAGGCAGAGAAAGAGAAACGGCCCTATCAGCGTTGAGCTAATTCTTTTATGTTCACTTCTCCCTCCCCCCCTTTTTTTTGTAGTTTCCAAGACTGTTATGCTTCAGAATTTAACAGTCTAGAAATGGTTCAAGAAGGCCAAGGAGGTGTTCCTCTGGAGCACCTTATCTCCTGTGTTCCTGGTGTTAATATTGCTATCGCGCAAAATGGCATCAAAGTTGTCAAGTGGATACATAATAAACCACCTCCTCCTGCCACAGGTATGTATATTATTCCTTGGTTGCTGTCTTAGTTAGCTGCCTGACCTTGATCATTCGTTCCTTTTCTCCCCTGTTGTCTGAATTTGCAAAGACAACCTGTGAAGCAGGAGACTTCCCACCTAGATGAGGTTTTTCTTCCCAGCCTACCAAGATTGCCATGGCAACCATGAACTTATTTGACCGAGATTTTATTTGTTTGTGTTCATTTGTATCCTGCCTTTATTGCTTTTACAAACCACCTAAGATGTCCAACACGTCTTCCTATTTTCCCCACAGCAACAGTCTTTGTGAGCTGTGTTGGGCTGGGAAAGAGGGACTAGCCCAGAGGTAGGCAATCTTGCCTCTTTTATGACTCGTGGACTTCAACTCCCAGAATTCTTGAGCCAGCCAAGCTGGCTCAGGAATTCTGGGAGTTGAAGTCCACGAGTCATAAAAGAGCCAAGGTTGCCTACCCCTGGACTAGCCCAAGATCACCCAGCTGGCTTTCATGGCTAAAGCGGTAGTTGAACTCATGGACTCCCACTTTTCTAGCCTGGTGCCTTAACTTTTTAACCTAATGTAAGCTTGCTTTCAGATAACCCAATGTTCTCCTGGTGTTTTGGACTTCAGGTCCATCCATGACAGATAGCCTAAAGGGAGTTGTCCTTTCAAACATTGGAAAAGAACAGTAATTTACTCCCACGTCAGATTATTCTTTTTCCTTTTCCCATTTCCAATAAATGGGATTAATACCTTGAACAGGTACGAAGAATCAGGACCACATGTTACTTTTCAATTAAGATGATTTGTTGCTGATGCCTATGGACAAGAATCTAGTCAACTTAACAGTCAGCACTAAACTGGTGTTAAGAGTCAACGGAATTCAATGGACCGCTTGTGGGAACACAATGATCCCAGGCTGATTCCTCTCTTGACTCCTCTCCCAGGCTCTGCCTCTCCTCCTACAGTTAGTCTTACCAATGGGGTACTTCCAATTTCTGCTCCTTGACCGTCATGTTTATTGCCTTCTCGTGCGTTCCTCCCAATAAAGGTGCCTTCTTGGGTGGGGATCTTCTTTCCTCTACTCCAGAACCTTGGCTGTTGCGTTCAAAGAGCCCCGTGGGCAACCCACAACTCATCCAGTTCAGTAGAGAAGTGATTGATCTCCTGAAAAACCAGCCCTCCTGCATTATGTCCGTCAACAAGTTCATCCCCATGTACCATCACCATTTTGCCAAACAATGCCGTGTGTCGGATTATGGCTATTCCAAGTTAATAGAGCTGCTGGAATCGGTGCCTCATGTCCTGCAGGTGAGTTCAGACGTTCTGCTTCCTTGCCAGCGATGTTGGCCTCCCAAGAGCTGGCTTTGAAAGGGGGGCCGGCATCATGAGAAACATGAAAAAGCAACTCTAGGTAGCTGACAGTGTACACTCACCTACCATTCTGCTTTGCAACGGAAATGCTAGTCCAAATTGCGATCGTAAATTGAGTTCTCCTTGTAGTGCCTGTTGACTTGGTCTTGCCCAGCTTTGTAGAGTTTGGCCTTTAGATTTTGGTCCCAGTCCTTCACACTAATCAAGAGAAATATAACTTGATTGGCGCGCGCTCAGATTTCGCCGTAGATCTACGTGCAAACTTTTTTTTTCTTCTACTTCTCAGATTCTCGGGATAGGAACCAAGCGTTTGTTAACCTTAACACACAGGGCTCAAGTGAAGCGATTCACTCAAGACTTACTAAAGCTCCTGAAGTCCCAGGCCAGTAAGCGAGTGATAGTCAAAGAATTCTTACATGCTTATCATTGGTAGGTATGCAGAGCTGTGCCAACGCATCATTTTACATTTCCAACTGCAAATGTAAAAATATCTGCATTGTGTGTGTGTGTGTATTTTCTTTTTAATTTAGCAGCTTGGGCATTTAAAGCAAGTCATATATTTTCACGGGAAGGGAGACACCGATTTCTTCTCTCGGAATTAAAATTAAAAGGCAGCAGCAAAATCCTCCAGGTTTAGAGGTTTATAGAATAGAAGAAATTGAAATGAGTTGATTTTAAAATTTGGCTGCTGTTAAAGATGGGACGCCAGAAATGAGCCAATCTTTTTTGGGGGGGGTCTCTTCCTAAATATATCTGTGGGGTATTTTTTTTAATGTAATCATTTCCATCAAACTACCCTAACATCATCACTCTGGGATTTTTAACCCAGAGGCGATAACTGCATGTACACTAAAGTCAAGATTTACAGAAATGCCTTACAGCATTCCAGTAAATACATAGCTTGACCAACGATTATTACATTGCAAAAAATATTTTTCTCAGTACTGGGTTTAAACCTCAAAAAAATATTTTGCTTTCCTTTTGATTTCCTGCAGAGGCTTGCCACGGGCAAGTAGAAAGCTTCAGTTTTGTGTTTGTGTAACTAGTTCTACAGTTCTATCTTAAGGCAGTGGGTTTTTTTTTTCCCCCAAGTGTTTCCTGAATTATTCATCTTGCAGGTGTTTTTCGAAAGACTGGGATGTCACAGAATACGGAGTGTGTGAATTGGTTGATCTGATATCCGAAATTCCCGACACCACTATTTCTTTGTCGCTGCAAGACAATGAAATGGTCATTTGTATCCCCAAGAGAGGTATGTTGTGGTCGCTGAAAACTTCAGGAAAATTCTTGGGTCTCTCTCGCTCAGCGTTGCCTGCCAAACAAGGTGGACACAGGTAGTTCATTTAGTGACCATTCAGGATTATAACAGCAGTGAAGAAGGTGACTTAGGACCGTTTTTATGACTACCTCTATTGTGATGAGACATCAGAGGAGAAGTTGCTATATTCTCAGGAGTGGTAAAGATCCAGGAGACAGCTGTGTAAATCCCCAGCTGAGTTATCAGGAAAAAAAGATTGCCCATTTTGCTGGTTCCTGAGCAGGCTGCTACTTATTGATTGCTGAGGTTTATTTATTGTCTCAATCGACTAGGACTGTAGCTAGTGAGAAGATAAAGCTATTTCCACCCGAATGGAATAGACTGACTGTTAGAGAGAAAAGAATTCAGCTGCGGGAATTCTTGTGACCTCCACCCCATCCTCCAATTTTGCTCAATAAATCTTTCCAAAAGAGAGTAAATGAATGAAAATGGGAAATGAATGAACCCCTGAAATGCTAGGAGAGAGAGAGAGAGAGATTTAAATCTTTGAAAATATCTTCAGTACCTGGCAAATAACTTTGGTTAAGGTGTTCTAGAAACACTGAGTTCTGGTCCCGTCTTAGGCACAAAAGCCTGTTGGGTGACTATGATCCAATCATCAGGAGGTTGCGAGTTCGAATCTTACCTTAGCCATGAAAGCCAGCTCGGTAACTTTGGGCCGGTCGATTTCTCCCCCTCAACCTACCACACAGTTGTGGGGGGGGGGGTGGGAAGGAAGAGGAAGAAGTATGACGTACGTTCACCATCTTGAGTTATTTATAAAAATAACGAGAGTGGAATACAAATAAATAAACTTGATTTTTGCGGGGGCCCCGAGAGCAGCTTGGAGGGAACAGCGGGGGGGGGGGTGTCCTCGGACTACTCTCTAATAAGAGAGAGACGCTCCTTTTCCATCTTCAGAACGCACCAAGGAAGAAATGGAAAGGACGAAACAGTTCTGCAAAGAAGTGATTGATTTGCTACGCCACCAGCCCTATTTCCGCATGCCCTTCAACAAATTCATCCCGTGCTATCACCATCACTTTGGGCGCCAGTGCAAACTTGCACATTACGGATTTACCAAACTACTTGAACTTTTTGAAGCCATACCCGACGTCTTGCAGGTAGGCAATTGTAAGAGAGAAGGGATGGCGGATCCTTATGGGGGTGGAGTAAAAAAAAAGGGGGGGGAATCGGCCTAGAATCCCTACGTAGTCACAAAAGAACTGCATTTCACATTACTGAAACACATGTGGATTGTATGATAAGGGTGTTTAGAATAACTCAATGCAGGGGGTAGCCAATGTGCATAGAATGTGCATGATGATAATGTTCTAGGCAGCTTTTCTCCATAATCGGCTTCTTCTGGGTGTAGGGTCGCTAAATGAGGACTACCGGTATGTCCATGAGCTTGCTGGAAATCCAACTTAACTCAAGGGAGACATTACCCTGTTATCTTTGTCTTCCATGGCCTTTGAAAGAAAAAACTTACCGAGCTTTGGATCCTACAGTTGCTCTCAATATTCTAGCACTGCCTTCTCCAGTCGCTCTTAAATAACCAAGCTGACCTTCATCTCCAGGTCTTGGAATGCGGCGAGGAGAAAATCCTAATGCTAACCGAGGCGGAACAAGTCAAAGCTTTAGCTGCTCAGCTGGTGAAGTTGCTCCGTTCCCAGAAGGATAAATGTCTCATGATGGCAGATGTCCTTGCCGAATACGCTAAAACGTTCGGCTACCCTTTGCGTCTCCAGGACTACGACGTTGGCTCCGTTCCAGCCCTGGTGCAGAAGCTTTGCCATGTCATCAAGGTTAGGTTTTCAGGTGCCACGTGAGGAAAAACGACCGTGATGGTGATCTTAATGGGGGAGGTGGGTTGGCTGAGCAAGGGAGAATCCAAACCACATTTTGAGCAACTCAAAATACCCTGAGAGATTTTCCTTCTAGAATTCTAAATGATGGGGATGGCTCTCTTCCCCAATCTCCTGTCCTCCTTCCAGAATTCCCACTTGCTGTAGCTCTGGCAGTTATGGGACTTGTAGTCAATAGGGTAGAAGGCTGATAGCTGCTTCTCTTCTTTCAACTCCTCCAGGTGGTCCATGTAGAATCTGGGAAACAGCTTCAGCTGATCAATAAAAAGTCCCTCCGGACGCTCACTTCGCATCTTCTGGTGCTTCTCATGACCTTGGATGAAGCCACTGTGGTTTCTGTGCAGGAGCTTAAAAGGCGTTACGAGGCTGCCCAGGGGGCTGTCCTCAACCCGTGTGAATATGGCTTCATGACCTTTATCGAGCTTCTGATGAGCGTGCCTTATTTTATCGAGGTGAGAGAAGACCTCTTAACACAGAGGCTATGGAGAGCAAAGCTCACTGTGGTATCCAGTCCCTAATAGTTACCATTTCACTTGTCTACTTTTCTCTATATATAGACCTAGCCATTCTCCAGCCTAACAGATGAGTTGGAATTGGAATACCAGGGCTGTGATTGTTGTTTTTTTTTTAAGATTGGAGCTGTGCGACCCTTGTCAGAGTCAAAACATCCCAGCCACCCATTTCTATTTTTGATACAAACTCTTCTGATCTCCTTGGAAGTCTTTTGAGGTTGGCATGGATGGTGCCAACGTTCCTAGGAGTAGTGTGACCTCAGCATGGATCATAACTTGCAGTTGTGGGATCCAGGTGGGGATAGAAGAGAGGGTTGAACTGTGGGGTCCTTGGTGCTCTCTGAGCTTCGTGGTTTTCTGGCAGACATTGCATTACCCAACTAGGTAGCATCACCAGTGCTGATGAGGTTACCTAGTTGGGTAATGAAACATCTGGAAGAAAACAACCAAGCTCAGAGAGTAATAAGGACCCCACAGTCCAGGTGACTATAAGCCACATCTGGATGGTGTGACACGGCCATGTCAAGAATGGAATCTTTTGGTTTCTAAATAGATTTCATCCTCTATTTCCTTTATTCAAAAATATTCTTCCATTTGTAAAAGGAGAAGGACTACTTACTTTGCCCCCCCCCCTTTACAGGTTTTTATTGATGGCAATGCAGAATATGTGAAGCTTACAGATCTGTATGTGTTTGCCAAGAAAGTGAGGATGTTGCTTCACACCTACCATTACCAGCAGATCTTCCTCCACGAGTTCTCAACAGCCTACAGCAAATACACAGGAGAAGAACTTCATCCCAACACATATGGCTACAATAACCTTGAGGAACTTTTAGGGGCAATTCCATCGGTTTGTATCTGCAGCTTTTCTCTTTTCTCTTAAAATGTGCAGGATTCTTACATCCAAGTTGTAGCTTTTCATAGTAGTCGTAACCAGACAGTCCCATAGACCCCTGGCCGCCCTATTGTCACTTAGAATAACATGGTAAGAAATTAAATAAGTTATTTTTCCTATGATGTCATAATTGGGCCCATCATCCTGTTAGCCAAGAGCTTGACGTTCTCCCTGAAAATGTTCATTTTATAGCTTTATATCATTTTATATCTTTATATCTTACCTATAAAGTTCATAGACAATAAAGTGAAGACCGTGGGCCTTTCAGAAGTCTGTGATTAAAACTCTCAGTAAGGAAGCTCATGGTGTTATGGCAGCTGTATTGTTTCAGGGGCCTTTGGTTTCAAATACTTTTTGTTAAAAGTTGTCATCCCTTTTTTGTTTTTGTTTTTTTCAGAAAAAAATAGCTTGCTTTATTCATCCATTTATTTGCAGACCTATACAGGCAGTGCTCGACTTACGATTACAATTGAGCCGAAATGTTCTGTTGCTATCAAGGATTGCTGGTATTAAACTGGGGCACAACAACATCTGCCATCTAGCTTTATAATGCCACGAAATTGTGATTTGGGCTAATTTTCCAATGTTTTCGTGGAACTCATCCAGTCCAAGTTGGAGTAATAATAATAATAATAAAGTTGAAAGGGACCTTGGAGGTCATCTAGTCCAACCCCCTGCTCTGGCAGGAAACCCTATACCATTTCAGACAAATGGCCGTCCAGTCTCTTAAAAACCTTCAGTGTTGGAGCATTCACCGCTTCTGGAGGCAGGTTGTTCCACTGGTTAATTGTTCTAACTGTCGGGAAGTTTCTCCTTAGTTCTAGGTTGCTTCTCTCTTTGGTTCGTTTCCATCCGTTGCTTCTTGTCCTGCCTTCAGGCGCTTTGGAGAATAGCTTGACTCCCTCTTCTTTGGGGCAGCCCCTGAGATATGGGAAGACTGCTATCATGTCTGTCTCTTCATTAAGGATGAAGGGGACTATGATAGCAGTGTTCCAATATCTCAGGGACTGCCCCAAAGAAGAGGGAGTCAAGCTATTCTCCAATTGCAATTAACATAGAAGGGAAGATTGCAGGAATAATGAGTATAAGAAGACTTTAAGGCAGCAAGAAGCTTACCTAGGTTCATCTTAACTTGCATCTCACCTGTCGTCTTCCTTGCTTTTAATTAGGTAGTATGGATAAAGGGCCACGGTCATAAGAGGATTGTTGTTCTGAAGAATGACATGAAAAGTAAGTAATGGAGTTAACTTTTCTCCTTTTGGGGGGGGGGAACTGTCTGTCAAATGGAACAGTTGCTAATCTCCTCCCTTCTTTAGCTCGTTTCAACTCTCCCAGTCTTCCCCTGGCTGACGAAAGTTACGAAAATGAAGTGGCCGATGGCGATGGACAATCCACAAAAGCAGCAGGAGTGGAGAGATCCTTAGATTTAATCCTGGAAGCACCCAACATCGGTAACTGATTGATTGCTGGCCGCTATTTGGCACCTAGTAAATGTTGAGTCTTTTGTCTTTTGGCCTTGAATAGATAAGCCAAAAAAGATAATAGATAATAATAATATCTAATAATATTTATTCAGTAATAATTGTTATCTAAGAAGAGAGAATAAGCCATGGACCAGAATTATAGTTGTGTTTCACTTGTCTTTTTCCATTTTCATCTCCCAGCCCATTCTCCTCTTTTTTATCAATTTGTGACCCGCCATTCTTTGCAAATACTGTAAATCAAGGCAGCGAACGTATCCAGCACGCCATCCTCTTCCTATTTTCTCCACAATAACAACCCCATGAGAGGGATTTGGGCTGATAGTGACTGACTGGCCTAAGGTCACCCAGCTAGCTTTCGTGGCTAAGATGAGACTAGAACTTAGGTCTCCCACTCGCTAGCAGGGTGTCTTCACTAGACCTTACTAAAGAAATCAGCGTGATTTTGCAAGCTTGCTTTAACGTGAGTCATTCACTGCTCTTGTGAGTTTCTAAGGAGTTGCCTTAATTTTCTTCCTCCTCTGCAGTCTCCAGTCAAGCCGAGGAAGAGCTGCTTTGCCTCACCAATGCCTCACCTGTTGATCTATTATGCCAGCCGGTCCCTTCCTGCCTTCCCTCCCCACAGCTGAGACCAGATCCAGTGGTTCTTGAATCAACAGATCTCATCCGTTTTGAAGAGCACTCACCGACCCCTTCTGATAAAGGTTACTGTTCCCTTTAAAAAATCTGGCTCCATTCAATAGTAGCAGAAGTCCTGACAGTCAGGGTTGCTTTCCTTTAGGAGTGATTGATTGGATCTCACAAACGAAGGCAAATATTCATGTCCCAGGATAATGTTGCAGAATCTAGTCTGAGTCGGTCACCGGGACCAGAAGTTTAGTCTCCTAAGCATGAGTGCAAAAGCTTGGAAGATTTAAGTTTCTCTTTCTGGTGACTGACTCAGGTTGGTGCCTGATTTGATCTCCTTGCAGTCCAAGGGATTGTGAAATGGGACTGTGTTGTGTTTACCCTTAAAGTCATAGGGATGTCTGAAGAATCAATAAATAGCTTGTCGGCTGAAAAGCTAACAGCTCAGCTTTGAGACCCGAGCAACATGCGACAGGGTTGAGCTCCCGTCCTCGGCCCAGCTCCTGCCAGACTAGCAGTTCAAAAGCCTGAAAATGCGAGTAGATAAATAGGTACCACTTCGGTGGGAAGGTAACTGTCAACGCTGCTAACATTGGATGTTCTTGCTTTGACAAAATATGAAGAGGCAGCCACTCTCTGTATAAGCTGGGTGGTACTTTTAGAGTTAAATTAGATGATGCTGGGAGGGGAGGAGAAAGAATATGTGTGGGGATTAGTTAAGACAGTGATGGCAAACCTTTTAGAGACCGAGTGCCAAACTGCAACCCCAAACCCACTTATGCATCATCGGGTGCCGGGTGGGTGTGGCCCATTGGGTGGGTGTGGCCCATTGGGTGGGCGTGGCTACGGTGGTGATGGCAGACTGGGTGGGACTAAAAAGTTCAATCAATCAATACCAACTTTGCAAGATCTTTGTTTTTCCCCGCGAGAAGTTGAAATCGACTGATTGATTGAACCTTTTTTTTTTTTGTACACGGAGGCCTAAAGCGAAAAGGTTTTATAAAACCCAGTTGAAGGCCTAGGACTGGGGCGACGGCGCGCGTGCCCACAGAGAGGGCTCTGAGTGCCGCCTCTGGCACCCGTGCCATAGGTTCGCCACCACTGAGTTAAGATAAGAAACCGCAGGCTACAGAACAGAAGGGAAACTTTGCCCTTCCGACTGATTGGAGAACGTGATTTATGACTGCTAATTGGAGGAGGGAATTGTGCTTGAATATTATGTGCTCAGGGGAGGGGAATTCATATCTTGCCATCCACCATGTTCATGCGGAAGAGTGCTGTACTAATTCAGAGACTTTAAACAATGCCTCGAAGTTCTTTGAAGTATTCCCCTAATTGGAACCATGACAGTAACAGCATTCTGTGTGACTTCATGCCGGGCAAATGACCACAGAAATTTCTTTGGGCAGCGTTGGCTCAATGACCTTGAAACGCAGGTGACCCTCACTCCCTCTAGGCAACGACTAACAAGAGTAAAATCCTCAGGGACTCCTTTACCTTTAGTTTCAAAACTAAACAGTCCTCCTTTTTGTTCCAGAGATTACGACAGATCCTGAAGAGAAGAAGGCTGCTGGTCATTCAGAAGTTCGTAAAGAAATCGGTCACTTCTCTGAAGCATCTAAAGCTACGGAAAATATCTTAGCTACTCCCTGTTTTGCATCCGAACATCCGGGATGCAGAGAAGCCACGGAAAGTCCAGCTCAGAAGCAGCCGAAGAGCCGAGTCAAATTGGCCGCCAACTTCTCCTTTGCACCCGTAACCAAGCTTTAAATCTCCTCCTGGTGTGAGAAGCATCGTATTGTTAGATTACACAGGAAATAAAGTCGGCTATTCTTTTTTTTTTTTTTTTTAATTTTTAATCACTTTCTGGAGGGGGAAAGCCACCAATCCGTTTCCTTTGTCATTGTGACTGCCTTCTGTGGAAACGTTGCACAATCTCAACCGAAGTTAGCTGGTTTTTTTTTTTTATAATTATAATTATTATTGGGACTTCAAATATTTGTTAAGAGCGATCTAAACATTTTACCCTTTTTTATTCTGTCCCGTATGGACAAAAAGCAGATGCGAGAAGCCTTGACAAAGAGAACGGATTTTTAAGTTTCTGATCCCCCAAGGGCGATGTCAAATTCTACACGTCCTGCATAAACCTCTCGGGCGGTTTCTAATTTGCGATGTTGTTGTCGGGGAAATAACAATGCAGTGTGTAATTTTGTCGTGCGGAACGGCCTTTCGAGAGCCTTTTTAAAAACGGTCACTTAGGTGGGAATGCACGGTGGGGTCTTTCACAGTTAGCTTTGTAAGGGCAAAACTTGGGAACCGGTGTGTTTTTGTATTTTAATTTTTTTTTTCGATGACTTGTAATTAACTATTGCCAAAAACAAAAAAACACCCACCCCAAAACCCCGATCATAGGAGAAGTCGTTTTAAAGGCCTTCTGTGATCATTTAGTTCCGTCCTGGAAACTTGTAAGAAATGGTTTTAAGCTTCCCTTTTATGAGTGCTGCCAGTGGATGCTGATTTGAGAGGAAGTCGTTGGAGAGAAAGTCATTTGAGTGCCGGGTATTTTGAAGGCACCTTGAGGAGCCTCGGGTTGCAGTTGTTCCCTCGAGCTTGCTGGGGGCCGCTGAGATTTCAAGAAAACAAAATATGCATCGAAATGCATAAATCATGAATCGCCACGAGGTGAGGGGAAGTTTTTTAAGATAGGAAAGGCGATGATGCTTCCGCAGTGCTGAAACGGGAGCAGGAGGTAGAAACGCCAAGGTTAAAGGCCTAACCTTGTTTGCAAAAAATTTTTAAACGTGGAATAAATGGGAAGCTTAAATTTGAATCGATAAAAAGGTTTTTTAATGGTGTCTGGTTTTTTTATCCTTCCTGGTATTGAAAGCTGCTCTTGTGTGTCGTCATTTTTCGCTTCCAGTTCTTAATGGGGGTATTTTTTCTGTGGTTGTTGTGGTTGTGGCAGTTGTTGGCTTTTAGAAGGGCCAGCCTTAACAGAAGTCAGTGGGATCCTTTTGCCTTCTTTTTAGAGAGAGAGAGAGAGAGAGAGAAACTTTAAAAACGTCTTCCGAAGGTGTTATACCCCTGCCCGGGTAAATCTGGTACTTACAATGGATTGTATTTGCCAGGAAAGAAAAATTTTTGTACTGCTTGTCAAAAGGAAAAGAACCTATTAAGAGGTTTCCACTGGCTGGATGCAGAAATATATATATATTTTGTAAGAATTATATTTTATAATGGACAAGGTTGGAAAAACAAGGCTGGGGTTTTCACAGCCAGCAACTGATGGCTATAGGTACTGTTGTGTTTTTTTTTAATGGATTTTGTTTAAAAGAGGATTTTTAAACAAAGCCATCTATTAAACCTTTCTGAATTATATAGCCATTATGAACTCAAGGAAACAATGGAAGCTTTTTTTCTGAGATTGAGACACGACACAGTATGTTGGCCAGGCTTACAGTTCCTCTACAGACCTAGGGCTTATAGGAACAGTTGTTAGATATTTTTTTTCCCTTTCCCTCTAGTGTTTTTCGAATATTTGTGAGATCATCTCTCTGTAGCTTTATGTATAACCTGCATAAAACAAAGGCCTCAATTGTGGGTTGTGCTAAGCAGAACCTTTTGCTGTTCTGAGGTGTGATTGCAAGTCATCTTAAAAAAAAAAAAAAGCGAGAGCCAAGTTTTTTGGGGAGAAAAAAAAAAGAAAGAAATCAAAAGTCCAGTAGTGTTCTGTATTTGAAATACAGAGGTCGCCAGGTGATCTGTAGAGAATAATCCCATCATTAATGGATTCCATGTGGCATTCTGAACGAAATTGCTGTTTGAAAGTTATGCAATGCTGTTTTGGATAAATTTGAAGGGTTTTTTTTTTTTTCCTCTCACAGCTCAAGATTATTTAATGAAGTTTTTTTATAAAAAAAAAAAAACCCAAAACATACAGAGGCTTGAAAAAAATAATGTAACTTGACTGATTCGAACATAAATTAAGATGATGAAATTAACTTTAACACTTTGGTCATTTTGATTTCTTTACTGTTCTGAAATGAAACCGATCAAGGCAGCCTTCAACTATGCACTCTGGGTGGGTGAAAAGCGACAATGCGGCATATAAATTTGTCTAATTTGTTTGGGCACTTTTGTGGGTCAAGTGGTATTTTGTGCGTTGGGACCAAGCAGTTGTCAATAAAAATTTCAAGCAAGCAAGTGACTTTCTCTGTCCATTTTTTTTCCCCAGTAAATATATCGGTAGAACTTGACTTAGCAATGGAAATTTTGGTCCCAATTGTTGTAGGTCAAGGACTACTTGCGCTGTATATAGTCCGGCTCTCTTTTTGAAGATAATTTTAAGCAGATGGACTGTTCCATAAATGTATTAGGCTGATCTGTCTCCAACCTAACCTCTACTGGATGCACCTTCTAAAAGTTGGAGGAGCTTGGTTGAATCAAGAACAACCTGGCAAGATCTGCCGTAGTTTGAACAGTTGTGTGTTCAAAGTTCTGCCTCATTGTGAATCTTGGTATTACTTGGTTAACTTCCTGGAGCTCAGCGAGATAAAAGTTAGAGAAATTCCAAATGCTGGAGATTGTTGGACAAAAAGAAGGAGCAATTGGTCTCATCTAGCTCCTTCCGCCCCTTCTTACATATTTAAACATACGGGCAATTTGTATTTCCTACTTAATCACAGGACTGCACCTCACATATTTTGGCCCGTGTCATGCAGAGAAATTCATTGGAGAAAGCAGTTATGTTTGGAAGAGTTAATGGTAAAAGAAAACCAGGCCACCGAAGAACATGGTGGCTGGACACCGTCAAAGCTGACACTAGCCAGAGCATAGGAAAAATCAAGTACAATAGTGTAAGATGGGATATGGAGAGAGACCTGGGTGAAGGAAATGCCAAAAGTCAGAGGCAACTGAATGAATAACTACATCATCAACATAATTGTTTCCTACAATTCATTCTGTTTCTGTTAGGAAACCACTTTGGGGCTTATTGCTTGAGGTGGGGAAAAAAATGAAACTTTGCTTTTGGGTTTGGCTGATTTGATGTTCTAGAAATGGTTAGTATATATTATTATATAAAACTAAAAAGTTGAGCTTTCACGTGATTATCTTATTCTACTGCACGAAAAGAAGTTGGAAGTCAGTGCTTTTTCTTTCTCCCCCCCCCCACCCTACACTCTGCTCTCTTCCCTTTTTTCTCACCTATTTTACCTTTATTTTCATTTATCCTTGTATTTTACACTTTGACAAACGAACAAAATGTTGAAATTGAAACACAACGTCATTTCCTCAGTTGCAGCTCTGCCCCTCCCAAATGTCACAGAACAATGAACTGGGACCATGGAAGTCATTACCAATTTTTAAAATAACACAACTTATTGTCCCTTGCACAAGAGCGATCCTGCGGATCGGCTAAGAAGCCACTGCAAACCAGAACAAAACAGATTGCGGTCAGCTTCTGATAAACTATTAGCTATTCTATTTAGCATTTTTATTAACACACATGTCATTGCGAAAAGGACCCAACCCAGCCACACGGAGGGCGCTTGCCTCCGTTTGCCCACCGATCAAATACTGCCTGCTAAAGGAAGACGGTGTGAGATGTATCCAGTGCACAACAGACCATTAAAACTGCTACATGTTGTTCCTACTTCACAGCTGGCATTAGGCTAAGAATCGGTCCTACCCATATGCAGAATTTACCTATCAGCTGGATTCAGACCATGCTTTACCACGTCAGGTCAAGACCTACGGTAGCAGATATATTCACACAGCATGCTAAGCCCAGTGTTCATCTTGGCTGTTCTTCCTACCTTATGGAGATGACTTAGCATCTTGTGCAAAACCAGAAAGTGAGTTGACTCACAAGCCAGATCAAGCCTGGGTGGACGGTCTGGACACAGCTCTAGACATACAGATGGCCCCCTGATGTTACCTGCAAGCCATAAGCCACTCCCCCGTCTACGCCTCACAGGTCTTCTCTGCGTTCTGGGTACAGTTAACATCTACTCCTCGTCTTAACCTAGGGCATGCTCACCGAGGTCCATGCAACACCAAGGAGTCACCAAGAATAGCACATTTCGGCACATAAGTTACTGTAAGAAATACAACAGGAGATTCAACGATCAAGAATATCTGGGTGCTTGATGTCCTGATTCCTTTGCCCACCAGGGGTTTTTGGGGGGGGCAAGGGGGAAGTGGGTCGAGCAGAAGACGCTGCCCGAGAGAGATGCTGGAGCTACATGATGGCGCATTGGGTCATCCCACAGCAATCCTTAATGAGAGCAGCGCTGGTTTTGGCAATGGTGGGCTTGTTGGGAGGAAATGGTGGTGGTGGAGGAGGCTCAGCTTGCTTCTCTGTCGTCGGTACCCCTGCCAAGGTCAGAAGGGAGAGCATCATTCATTGCCAGATTCAGGTTTCTGAACCCTAACCCTAACCCAAGCAAACCATCATGGACCAGTGGGTGAATCCAGCTACTTATCCATGCACAAATAAAAATCGACCAGATGATAGCACTAGCAACAGCACTTAGACCAGTGGTTCTCAACCTGTGGGTCAGGACCCCATTTGGGGTCGAACGACCATTTCACGGGGGTCGCCAAACAACGCAGTCCGCCATTTTTTCCCCCTTTTCCTTAGCTGTGCTACTCCCTTTTATTCTATTGGCCTTTGAAAGCCAATAGAATAGACTTTCTTGAATAGAGTCTAATTCTATTGGCCTTCAAAAGCCAATAGGAATTGTCCAGGCTGTCTCTGCCCTGCTGAGCCCGCCAAAAGTCCCATTCTGCCAACGGTGCTGCCCCAGTTGAGTAGTCCTCGACTTACGACCGGTTGAGTAGTCCTCGACTTACGACTGGTTGGGGGTCGCGGCATTAAAAAGGTTGAGAACCACTGACTTAGACTTAATATGGTGCCCCGTAGAGGGGAAGGGGACAACTTGCCACAGCCAACGCATTGTGCCAACTCACATGGCCAACTTGCCAAAGCCAACTTGCCACGGGACAATTTAACAATTCTATTTAATTATTTAAAATAAAATAAAAATTATTTGCATTTTTACCACTCACATTTCATTCTGTCCTTCCTTTTGCATCCTTTCTCGAAGGATTCTTCTTCATCATTTCTTTGATATTAGTGTAACTTTTGTCTTGCAATGGGTTGTCCCATGGTGAGTTGGCGATAGCGAATTGTCCAGCAATGAGTTGGCCGTGGGGAGTTGGCTGTGGCAACTTGTCATAGACCCCCCGTAGAGAGTTACAGCACTCTCTAGGCCAGGGGTCTTCAAACCTGGCCCTTTTATGACTTGTGGACTTCAACTCCCAGAATTCCTCAGCCAGGCACGCTGCTGAGGAATTCTGGGAGTTGAAGTCCACAAGTCATAAGTCTGAAGACCCCTGCTCTAGGCGGTTTACAATGTCAGCCTATGGCTCCCAACAATCTGGGTCCTCATTTTATCGACCACAGAAGGATGGAAGGCTGATTCCACTTTTGAGTCCCAGCAGGATCAAACTCCAGGTGGTGGGCGCAGTTTGCCTGCAATACTGCGTTCTAACCACTGCGCCACCAGGACTCTTCATGCAAATAAACTGACTTTTAAGTCAGACAAATTGAAAAAAAAATCTCCTTTTTTATGACCCCGTAGTCCCTATTAGGGGTAGAGTCAGGGCAATTGGACGCAGCTGAGCATTTACTAGCCGGATGCCCTTCCTGATGCCTATGCAGAGTTCAGAGCAGATATTTTTTCTTTGTGTCCTAGGAGAGAAACATCTGCCACTACCTAGGGTTAAACTCTCAACTTTCTGAGAGGGAGGGGAACTCTTCACCACTAGACCATCTCACCACTCTTAAGTCACACAAATAAAATAAACCAACATAGCTGGACTCTTTATATATGGATCTTAAGAATGTCAGTGTACAATGCATAAGCTCTACTTTGGGACAAGCAGTAGGAGTCATCACAGAGGTGTAAGTAGCTGTAACTGAGATCTGGATCAGCAGCAGTTCTTAAAGGGCTGAGATTGAAATCACTTGAATTATACAATCCCATAATACGCTAAGCCATTGTTTGCTTCTGTGGTTTATGGAAACAACTATAATTGGCCACAAACCAGGGTTTATACTGTAAGCCTTATCGCTTGGCTTTCCACATGTAGAAAGTCATAAGCGTAGAAAATCACATAAGCGTAGAAAATCACGTACTAGTGGGAGACTGTACAACATTGTCCAAAGGTCTCAATTTAATCCGTAGGAAATCAGCTATCTCCTTGTCTTCTTCCTTCTCTCTGTTTCAAAGTAAAATAACATATTGTTAAAAGTTAGAAAAGATTTTGTTCTGCTATGTTTTTTTTAAAAAATGAATTGCACAACTGGTGGAAAAGAATTGGAAAATTCTAGCCAACATCAAGAAAATTCTATCAAGAAAAGATAGAAAAGGATAAATTAATATCCATCTGTATGGAGTCAAGTTAGGAAAAGCTGGGGCAGCCATCTAATTGACCTTGAAAAATGTTAATTAGGTTTAGACTGGCTTAGTATAAGAGAATTGACTGGAGTAGGGTTGTGTTTTTTTTTTTAACAACTCTCAGAAGAAAGCAATATTGCTTTGCCAGGAAAGCTACGTGAATAAGACCATGAAGTCATCATCAAGAGTTCAATTCAGCTTGAAGGTTCTTCACCTTAACTTCTCTTACCTCAATCTCTCCACTTCGGCATCATCAACAAGAAAGTCTCTTTTCTGCACTAATTTATGGATTTTCTGGATCAATTCATCCTCTCTTTGATTCTGCAGCTTAGTCTTGTCTTTTTCTGAGAGAGAGAGAGAGAGAGAGAGAGAGAGAGAGAAAAGAAAGAAAGCAAGAAAGAAAGAAGGAAAGAAAGAAAGAGAAAGAACGAGAAAGAAAGAGAAAGAAAAGAAAAGAAAAGAAAAGAAAAGAAAAGAAAGAAAGAAAGAAAGAAAGAAAGAAAGAAAGAAAGAAAGAAAGAAAGAAAGAAACTCAATGTTTCCCCAAACTGCTTCTGGTTGCATAAGGCAAGTACAGGAAGGTGGTATATCAACTACCTCTGCAAAACCCGGCACTTCACTCATTGCACAATCAATAAAGAGTTGTGTTTTGCAAACCAAGGCCACCACAAAATGACAGAGAAAAGGTTTTTAAGGTTTCCAGGAACGCTTCCTATTTTTGTAAAAGAGAGGGAGAGGGAGAAGGAGAGAGAGGGAGAAGGAGAGAGAGGAGGGGGTTGAGTCCAAGAACTCTTCCCATTTTTGAGAGAGAGAGATTTCATCTTCACAAATCATTTAATTGCATTTAACTGCAATTTGAACTCCTCAATTGCTTTGGGATGGTTCCCACTTGTTCCTGCACACCTCCGAGTCATATCCACACAGCAATTACCTGGGACAGCTACTAAATTCTGCAGCTCTTTCTTAAGAGTCATAATGTCTTTGCACAACTGGATGTCGTCCATCCTAAGAAATGGGAAAAGAAGGGGGAAAAACAATGAATTGGGTCTCATCATAGAAGTGAGATCATCCAGTCCAGCTCTATGGTCAGTGCAGATTAAAGCACCCCAGACTGATAACTGGGCAATCTGCTCTTTTCTTTAGGACATGCAACAAAGGAGAGCACACCACCATCCCCAGTCATTTCATTAATTGTTACTTTCATTTCATTAATTGGTTAGTTTTGTTTCATTAATTCTTTCATTTCATTAATTGGCTCATTTCACCCATTCCTTTCGTTAATTCATTAATTTGCTTACGCTACTTTATCTTAACATTCAATTTGAGTCAGGAATACCCCAACCTTATCCAAAAGTCAAACTTCTTGACCATCAAGTTCTAAAGGAATGCAGATCTAATCTTGGGGAATAGCAAAGAAATGAGTCGGCCAATAAAAGGGACTTCGTGAAAAGATTATTCACCGGAGAAAGAAGACAGTGTGAGAAAGAAACTCAAAATAACCCCACTTTGATTTTGTTTGGTACAAGAAGGGGCACTAAGAAAGTCTTTCAAGAATTTGTTTACCTGTGTGGTATGGCTGAATTACTATTACCCTTCTCATCTTTTCTACTATTGGTATCTTATGATTATATTACTTTGTTGTTTGTATGTACACTGAGAACTTCTGCACTGGAGAAAATTCCTTGTGTGTCCAATCACACCTGGCCAATAAAGAATATTCTGTTCTATTCTATTCTATTCTATTCTATTCTATTCTATTCTATTCTATTCTATTCTATTCTATTCTATTCTAATCTCCATTGCATCTATCCTATCCTATTCTCCATTGCATCTATTCTACTCTCCTCTCCTCTCCTCTCCTCTCCTCTCCTCTCCTCTCCTCTCCTCTCCTCTCCTCTACTCTATTCTATTCTATTCTCTGTTACATCTATTCTATTCTATTCCATTCCATTCTATATTCCATTCCATTCCATATCATTCCTTGATTCCCCACTATGCCTGTTTTTGCATACAGATGCAAAATAATGCCTTAAATTAAATCAGATTCAGGTTGAATGTTAAAAAAAATTATTCCTTGAATTAAAAGCAGTTCACAGAACAACTACCGACTCAGAGAAAGATTGTTGGATTAACCAGCTGATCAGATTTTTTTTTTCCCCCAGGAGAGTTCAACAGCCTTTTCCAACTCTAGCATTCCATGTCCCATTTGATTCCCGACTTTCCACAAAAGCTACTCTTAACTTACATAAATCTCAGTTCGGATTCTCTTCGGACCAAGACTTCCCGAAGTCTTTGAATCTTTGCCATTTCCATCTCTATCTCCTCGGGCATCATGCTTGTTTCTGCCATTGAAATGATGTCGAGTTGATCTGCAGAGATGCAAGGTAGAGAGAAAAGGGGAGACATTGTGAATGAAGGCAAATGTATGTGTCCCAGGATGAAGTTGCAGTATCAATATGGGTTGGATCCTTCAAAGAAGTGAAAACACAACCAATCAACCAAGTCTCCTCCTGACACATTGTATGCCATGCTCCATCCATTCCTCAGGTTTTCTGTTGCCTTCCCTTGAATAGATGGCTGGACATAAACAATTGGAAAGGGGCAACTTTTATGCAACCAGGTGCCACACAAAACCAACCAAATGATGATTTTGTCTCTTGCGTGTCAGGTGCAAAAGATCAGGTCCACACACGAAGGCCCAATTAAACTGATCGATTGCTACTCATGTTACGCACAAGAATTGTCTCAGTTAACAGTTAGCAGCTGTTTAGAGTTAGCCAAGGGTCAATGGAATTCACGGAAAGTTGGCCTTCATTCACTTGTGGCTAGGTAGGGATACTAGGCTACTCCCCCTTTTAACTCCATCCTATGTTCTTCCACTCCTTCTCCTACCCTGAGAATCACAGATGATATTACCAGGGACATCGTGGGACTGAAATAGACAGGGGGGAAACATCTCCTTGGGAGCAACTGAGCGTGGCAGAGATCAGATTGAAGAAAGGAAGAAGTAGTTCTGTCTTTACACTGATGTTCTCAAATGTTAGGGTTAGATTCTTCCTCCTGTCTGCCAAGATCATCCTCACAGCCGCAAAAACATATGTGAACACTGAGGGGCAATGGAAAGTCAGAAAGGTCTGATGCTCTGCAGCCATCTGGCGTCATCCCAAGGGTTGCAGATGATAGGTCAGCTCTACCATACTCTTGTCTTAACCATGACAATCTGTTTTAGATTTGCTTTACATCACATGCTAAGACATAATGCTGGCTTTTGCTTTGTGTTCTGTGTAGGGTATAAATCATAGCCCAGAGCTAATTAGTTTAATGCATTTATTTCTGAGAATTTAGACATACTGCCAAAGGATACAAATTCTTGGCAGTTTGCAGAATTCATAAATAAAACATAAATCACTTCCCTAAGTATATAAGTTAAAATAAATGTTAAAATTAAAACCAGGCTACACCAAAATTAAAGTGGGCATTGCAAAGTTCCAGATGTTCATGAAGGTGCTTAATGAGTTGTGTGAATCCAACCAATGGTGGATTATTCCATAGACCGCAAGTAAATAAACCATAGCTGAGTGGGGTACACGAATCAGCCACATAAATATTCCCAGTGGAAATAGAACCAGCTTCTCTGAAAATGTTAATTATTCAACAGCTCATTTCAAACACCTCTTGGCACCATTTTGCTTCACATCTTGAGCCCAGAGAGGTGTGCATTTGGGGACAACGATGATGTTAAACCAAAGAACTTAAGTTCATCCATAACTGATGTCCATGGGATGCTGAAGCATGCAGGAAATCAGAGGTTGAAAGGAAACATGGTTGGTGCACTTGAAACATCCCATTTTCACACAGGCTTAAAACTCTGAATGGCATGTGATATAGTATAGCACAAGTATAGTAGCAATTGTGAGAGGGATCTTGGAGTCCTAGTGGACAATCACTTAAATTATGAGCCAGCAGTGTGCTGCAGCTGCCAAAAAAGCCAACACAGTGCTAGGCTGCATTAACAGAGGGACAGAATCAAGATCACGTAAAGTGTTAATACCACTTTACAATGCCTTGGTAAGGCCACACTTGGAATACGGCATCCAGTTTTGGTCACCACGATGCAAAAAAGATGTTGAGACTCTAGAAAGAGCACAGAGAAGAGCAACAAAGATGATCAGGGGACTGGAGGCTAAAACATATAAGGAACGGTTGCTAGAATTGGGTATGTCTAGTCTAATGAAGAGAAGGATGAGGGGGGACAGGATAGTAGTCTTCCAATATCTCAGGGGCTGCCACAAAGAAGAGAACTAAGAAGAAACTTCCTGACAGTTAGAACAATTAACCAGTGAAACAACCTGCCTCCAGAAGCGGTGAATGCTAGATGACCTCCAAGGTCCCTTCCAACATCATCATCATCATTATTATTAGGGCAGGAGAGAAAGTAAGGGAGAAATATTTGAAGAAATGATGCAGCCCAGAATGTAGAATTTGAAAAGGCCAAAGATAAAATTACCCTCGAGTTTTTACCACAATCGTTGGGAAAAAAAAGGTTCATAAAATCAGGTATGATTCACTTAACAACTGCTTTGCTTAGCAATGGAAATTCTATTCCCAAACATGGTCAAGGACTACCTGTAAAACATAAACCAGGTCTCCAAAGGATGTGAGAATTCAGATAGTCTGTCTTTCCAGTTGCACTGGATAATTTGGACTTGCAATCCAGAGCTGTAACTGGGCAAAGCCTCCCCCGCTCTGTGCTATGATATATTTTCTGGGCTGGCTCAGGACTATGAAGTTTTAAGCTGGCAGCTATTAAAGGGAAGCTTTAAAGCAGCTTGTTGTTTGCTGGCCTCTCCGCCTGTCACAGGACTTTTATCACTAACTACTTAAGAGGATGGAATTTGGTTCATATGTACTTAATATATTCTGGCAACCGTATCCTGCAGATCGGAATTCTCCAACTGATGCAACGGCACATGTCTGCAATTATTCCACCACATAATGCCTTGTCCGTTTTTCATTGATCTTTCCTCTCAGCCTTCCTTGGGAAATTATTATCCCTCTTTTTACCTGGATGGGGATATCATAAACCCAAATCTACCATCACCGGATTGTGAAAACAGGCACAGCCACTGGAAATGAATGAGGAGTTAGAAATTTTTTGTTGCCCTTTGTATTTTTACAGCTGCAAAACGTCCTGCAATATTAACCGATTCCTCTTCAGAAGAAGAAAAAAATTAATTCTGAATCCTTCAGATGTAGACCCAATAAGACAAGGAGATTTCTCCCTGCCAGCTCTATCTTCAAAAGATGTTCTGGAAGGATTTTGGGAACAAAGAATGTGAAATGATGGTGAACCATCCTTAAATCCACCAGCTATTGTATATAAACAAGGACCAAATTCCACCCTCACTAACACTGATGATGTTACCTAGTTGGGTAATGAGATGTCAACAAGCAAACAATCAAGCTCAGAGAATACCAAGGACCACCACCACCACCACCTCCTCCTCCTCCTCCTCCTCCTCCTCCTTTCAAACCCCACTCCTTCTAGCACTCCTTCTAACACTGATGATGTTACGTAGCTGGGTAATGAAACATCTACAAGTGAACAACCAAGCTCAGAGAATACCAAGGACCTCGTAATCCTGCACCTCCTCCTCCTCCTCCTCTCCACAAACCTCACTCCCTTCTAGCACTGATGATGTTACCTAGCTGGGTGATGAAACATCTACAAGCAAACAACCAAGCAAAGAGCGCAAGGAGAGAGCACCACACAAACAGAATGCACAGTTTTAAGAAGTGAATTGGGTGTAGCTCAAAACCTGGTTTTGAAGGAGGACATATATTTAAAAGACAAAAAAAAAAAAAAATCCAAAGCTGTTCTGGAATGCTAATGTCCATCAGTGATACAAACTACCCATAGAAATGTTATTGAGTGGATTAAACTACATAATAACATAATGAGCAAGCAGTTATCTGCTTCTATATGCATATCTCTAATAGCTTTCTTGGTCGAAGGCACCAGGAGCTGAGCTCGCGTTGAAGATTTTATTTTTTAACTTAGTAATTTCTCCCGCTGGCAACTTAAAGTATTGGCTAGAGCCAGTCGGCCATCGTTGTGCTGAAAATAACAATAATGAGGACAAGCTTTATGCCCCTTCAGCGACAGCTGGGTGATGTTTTGAAGATGCTATTAAAGTGGGGACACAGCCCAAGGCTATTAGGGAGAAATCCCTGTCCATGGTCCTGAAAGTGAGAATTCTAATAATACTCAAAAGTAACATGATTAAAAGGAGGGGACGGGGGGGGGGAATTGTTTCTGTTCGAGCATTTTACTGTTTTATAGTTGTTACTGGTTCCAGATGTTCTTTTTTCTTTCTCTTTGCCCCCTTCTCTTTCTTTTTCTTAGCTTTCCAACTTTTGTTTCTTTTTGTGTTTTTATCTTATAATAAAATTTAATCATAATAATAAAAAAATGGTTGGTCAATAAATCCTGTCTAAGTACATAAATAAATTCCTTTCCAGACTATCAAATCTTATGAAACAGCACCAGCTTTTCTGAGTCACATGAAAAGATAGTTTTTAATCATATTTTTAGTGTGAAAAGGTGCCACCAAACTCCTGGTTTTTTTCAGCATCATAGATTAACATGGCTGTCATCCATTGTCCGTGCTACTGATGTCTCTTTATAGTCTTGATCATAATCCCAGCTAGCGACTCCAAAAATAGATTGCATAAAGGAATTCGTGCAAGTCTAAATGAGTGAAAACTTCCAGCTTTAGCTATGGATCATTAAATCTTGTTTTGTTTCTCCTCTATAGGAGGTGGAGGCAGGTTTAATGAACGAGAGCCAAAAATTAGAAATTTTCAGCAGTAGCCCCTTAACTGTGGACTTTCATCCTGCTCTCTTTTTAAGTATTTTTTTCTGAAACAGCAGCTTAACTGCAACATCTTTAGATGACCTCATCATTCTATGAATGGTTTCTCCGCTATTTCTATTACCTTGAATAGGTATTATGGGACATTGTTCTTACTTGGTTTTATTATTTATTAATTATTGCTTAATTTTTAATTGCTGCTGATGGTTGCAACTTTGATTTTGTTGAGGGGGTGGTGTTGGAATACTTGAGAATAAATGTGTGTGTACGTGCATTTATCCAAATGAATGCAAGAGCCAATTTAGTAAGGAATTAAGTCTGGAATCAAGAAAAACTAGGTTCAGACTGGTAATATATACACTGTTGCCCTGAGTTACTTAGAAAAATAATAAAGTTGGGAAATAGATGAGATAGAAAGAGAGAGAGAGAGAGAGAGAGAGAGAGAGAGAGAGAGAGAGAGAGAGAGATGATATATGGATAGATAGATAGATAGA